TTTTTTTTTTTATTTTAATTTGTCCCAGATCATTAATTTTTGTTCTGTAAATAAATGGTTCCTAGTGTTCTATATAAAACTTCGTCAAGCTTAAAAGTATTTGGGTTTTCTCCTACAAGTTTTATAGTTTTCCATTTTCACATCTAGGTCTATGAGTCAGTCTCTGAACCTCTGTAAAATGTGTGAACACAAGTTAGTGGGCCATATTTGTCTCAATGTGACTGAAATCTGCTCATAAATGCAATTAACATCTCAATGGTACAATTGGAAAAAGGTATAAATGTCATGTCAAACACAAAATTACAACACATTTAGGGATCTTTATTGACATTATTTGTGACTGTGGGTACTGCCAATACCTTCCTCATCCTATCAAGCAGGGCCTGGGAGACCCTGACACTAGAGACTTTTCCATTTCTCTTGGGAAAAAGAGCAAAATTAACAAACTTGATTGTCAAGAAAGGTATATCAAGTTCTAAATGTTTCTTTTTACCAGATATGATTTCGTATTGCAACAAGGGAAAAGAACATGTACAGTTGATAAAATTCCAGCAGGAAGGCTCTCCTTGATGAGAAATAATGCTGCTTTTCTGTTTAACATTTTCACTTGAAAAAATGTAAGAGATAAGACATCTCGTGCCCCAAATGAAGTGAGGGATCCCACACCACACCATTCTCTGTTCCCATCCCAGGTGGGATCCAGATCACACTCTCCAGTCTCCTGACACTCCCTTAAACTTGCTTGTGGGCTCCTCTGTCCAGGTCACACTTGCCAGTCTCCTGACACTCCCTCACACTTGCTTGAGGGCTCCTCTGTCCAGGCCACACTTGACAGTCACCTGACTGTCCCTCACACTTGCTTGTGGGCTCCTCTGTCCAGGTCACACTTCCCAGTCACCTGACTGTCCCTCACACTTGCTTGTGGGCTCCTCTATCTAGTGAGAAACTTCACCCTGGGGTTTGGAACTAATTGTTCTTAGGAAAGAACAGAAAGTTGGTCTGAGTCCTATCTGAAGATTGTTTTATGTGAGATCTAAAGGAAACCTCAGGATCTTTTGGTTTCCATGTCTCTTAGCATTTGAATTTCTGTCTCATTATGTTGAAAAGAATCGAGGTTAGACTCACCTAGAATGCGATCTGATTATTGCCAAATCCAAGACAGCTCCTCACCCTAGCTGTTTCCCCTGCCCGTTCCTGCCTATAATCTAGGTCTTATTTGAAATAACCCCTCCCCCTCTTGCCACATGATGTCCCAAACCCTGCTATTCACACAGCCAGCATGCTTCATTTCCTGCATGGGTTTATTACTGTGGTTTCTCTCTCTCTTTCAAAGTGCTCCTTCACTTCCCCTCCCCCTGTAGAACGTAAGTTGCTCTCAATGAGGTCAAGGGCCTTGGCTGTTCTGTTCAGCACTGAGGCTGAGTGGCTGTTTCCTCCAAACAAAACTGAGAAAGCTACAAAACTTGTGACTGAGAAAGCTACAAAACTTGTGACTGAGAAAGTTACAAAAGTCACTGGAGGCCTCTCCAAGGTTCTACAAACAGTAAATAGTTGCAGGGGACAGGGGCTCTCTAGGCAGCCCAGTGCCTGAAGTCCTGCGGGAGATCCCGGGAGACAGCTTCAGAGTGATTGCCTACGCTGGGTGGGCTTTCTCGGCGATACAGCTGCCATGGAGTTGCTCATCTTCCCTAAAGTAAGCACAATTCTCATTGGTTCACCAGGCTAGCCTAGTGTGGGACTGGTGCCTGTCTAGGGTGGTAACCTTCCTGGCAAGATCAAAGAGATTCTAAAGGGAGACACTTGTGCCCTTGGCCTATCTGACTGCTGAAACAATGGTCCCCAGGATGGGATTTCCCCAGGAATCTCATGCTGGAAGAAGAAGAAAAATGCTAAAAAGCCTGGTGCCAATCAGAACAATTTTCCTTCTTGGAACAGATTTTACAGTGTCTACATCCTGTCTGAGCACTTTTTTAGGACAGACTGAGGGAAGATGGACTTGGGAGAGGAAGGTTAATAGATAGATACCTTTACATGTCACCATTCCTTTTCTGTTTAACTAGCTAGGTGAGCACATGGTGGTGATCCTGACTGGTTAAGGTTGCTACAGCCCCAGATAAGGTTGCTACAGCCCCAGATTTGACCCTAAGTGTTAGTGCCAGGCTGAATAAATGTCTCCTCAACACAACACAGACTGTCAAAGAAAAGCTCAGAGTTGTTTAGTAATTGAATGAATAATGAGTGAATGAATGATGGTAGATTATAAACCATGGATTCTTTTTTATACATTGGAAAAAAATCATCCCTTACTTTGTGCACTTAACTACTGCAGAACCATTTTGCAGGAGCCACACTTATCAAATGGCAGGTCAAAGATTCAATAAATGGTGCCTACTCTATTATTTATCCTTTGAGAAAGGATCTTTCTATGTTACCTAGGCTGGCTTTGAACTTAGTGCCCAGCTTCACATATGCTGACATTGCATAACCATGACACCACCCTAGCTGGTGCCCAACTTTTGTGTTGTGAATAATTCAAATAAAATTCTAAGTACAAACAGAACATTCAGTGATCCATAGGTATGTAACAAGATAGATCTTAAGCAAGTGAGGTGAGGAACAGAAGCAGACTTGAAATCTCCACAGTGCTTGAGCTCTTGGTACATTAGAGAGCCAGTGTTCCAAAGCCACATGTGAAACAGGAAGCCGTCAAGACAGGGAGAAAGTAGCCAGCCCAATTCAAGGAGGACATTTACAAGTACCTCTGGGGAAACTGCTGACTACTATGAAATAGATGGAACTCTACAAACCAATTTATTTACATGGTACCAAAATAATTCCACTGGCAACTGACAACAAGTCAGTCTCATTATTAGCTTGTCATGACGTAGATAAATCACTTGTTTTGAGAGAGCTCTGAATCCAGCTGGACAGGACATTGTTCTAAATGCTCACAACTTTCCACCATAGTAAACAAATCAGCAAGTCACCAGCAGTGGGAGCTGGACCATCTTGTCACTCAGAATCAATTAGCTGAGCAACTGCAGTCACATAATTAAGGATATATTCATTCTTGAGTCAGTTCCTCTTTCTTGACCTTCCTTTAAAAGTACACGCTCCTTTAACAAATTCTGTTTCTGAAATAACGGTACTTCTTTTATTTTGCTTTTATAAAAGGATACTGTCGTGGGTTTGAGGCGAGGGCTTTGTCAGTATGCGATGTTTGGTGGTAGAAGGAAGGAATGATGACAGTGTTTGCTACACAGAAATGAGACTCCAGGCCTGATGCCCAGCACTTCACGTAGACCCTCGGCATGGTGGTTTATGCCTGTAGCACCAGTGCTGGGAAAGTGGAGACGGGAGCATCTGAAGGAGGTTGGATAGCTAAGAAGAATCAGTGAGCTCCAGGCTCAAGGAGAGACCATGACTCAGAAAAGTGGAGGGAGGTCACTGGATCACGATATCCAAAGTCAACCACCTCTGACCTCCACACACATGGACACACATATGTAGTTTCACACACATAACACATGCACACACAAAGGAAGCTATCTTGATAGAACAATTATTTCTCTTATGGAGACTTTTTAAAAATTTATATCAAAATTCAGGACCTGGTATTGGTGATTTGGTAATCTTATTCAGGAGTAGTATGCCAATCATGTCATGGTTAATTGATGACAAAAATGATGGAATCTTCCAGACTGTTAAAAGGATTTGTCATTTCAATAGAGAGAAAAATCTTCAGACATAATGAAGTAGTCTTAATGAAGCAGAAACCTTTGTCTCTCTGATATGTGTATATTCTGTTTTCCAACAGCCTTTGGCTTGGTCTAACACATTGTTGAACAAGAAAATGTCCATAAACCTGCTATGGAAAAGTGAGAAATGTGTTCTCTTCAGATTTTTATATTTGTAAATGATATTCAGATGATTTTTAATTACTATAAAGGCATTGAGATGTTAATGTACTTTATAAAACAGACGGGGGCAATTTAATCCTTGCTTTCTGCAGTCTATTTCAACTCTAAGAAAATTATTTCTTTTGATCCACTCTGATAGCATGTAATAAAGGAACAATAAAACATATGGCTCAATTACCACTGCTTCTCATCAAGCATGAATTAATGAATATCAAATTATTATTAATTGTTTTTTCTGGCTCCTTCCCCATAGGACAATTACACATTGCTGAATTTTGATAAGCACTTTGTGTTTAACACTTTGTGGACCAGTGTCTAAGCAGAACCGATGCATAAAATTATCACACAGGAGAATGAGTTCTTTAATTTATCACTATTTGCAAATCATGCAGTCATCTCTCAGTTTCCCTAGTTTGTTTTCTCACAACTTCCTGCCAGTGCCCTAGAATTCTATGTGCCAGCACAGCCCAGTCACTCTTCCTTCAAGAAACAGTTGCTATGTGCCCATAAAATACTTTATCTGTTCAATTTTTCTATGTTAGCAATAATAATGATTTCTTGTGTGATTATTGAATTTCCAACTCTGAAACAAAAGAATTCTTTTCAAAATAAAAGATTTATTTTAAGCAGTTAAAAATAAGTTAACTCAGCCAGGCAGTGGTGGTGCACGCCTTTGATCCCAGCACTTGGGAGGCAGAGCCAGGTGGATCTCTGTGAGTTTGAGGCCAGCCTGAGCTACAGAGTGAGATCCAGGACAGGCACAAAAACTACACAGAGAAACCCTATCTCGAAACCCCTCTCCCCCCAAAAAAGTTAACTCTCAGGCTGGAGAGCTGGTTCAGAGATTAAGAGCACTGGCTGCTCTTCTGGAGGTCCTGAGTTCAATTTCCAGCAGCTACGTAGTGGCTCACAATCATCTATAGTGGGATCTGATGTCCTCTTCTGGCATAAAGGCATATATGCAGATAGAGTACTCATATACATAAAATAAACAAAAATAAGTTAACTCTCATAGTATGAACTATGTATAACTTGTGATCACTATAATTGCCAGAAGTCAATTTTAGTGAATGATAGTGAGACATTATGGAAACTCATTTTATTGTTGTCAGTCATCTGTAAACATAAACTGTAACATGAACACATATAACATGTTTGTAATCCATAGCTATTACTTCTCAGATAATTTGTACACCCAGATTTTGAAATGCATGCAAAGAAAGTTTAACAAATTATACATCATATGATTTTACCTATCACCCATAAAGCTATTAATTTCAGTTTTAAGAATAGTCTATAAAAGATATGCCTGTGATAAACTGAAGGAAGACAGTTAGGTGAAATTATTTATGTGTCCCAATACTGTTAACAAATATACCAACATATTTCTAAACAGCAAACTTAAATTTCTTTTAGAATCAGAAAACTGGAAAAACAAAAAGGGACCTTGGAAATCATTTTGTCTAATGCCTGTGGTGCCACAGAAAATGTCACAGAAGTCGGGAAACTTTAAGTGATTTTCTAAGGTCCAAACAACTTGTACATTGATCTTGCTGAAAAACTTTATAACAAAATTTCTACGTGCATTTTCTTTTGCAGAAATAAAGAAGTTTATCTTGCTCCTATGCCTATTTGTCAGGGTGTGTCAACAAAGCTCTAATACAAATTATTAGGGGAATATAGGTGAGAAGGTGGGAAACTTGGTTATAATGAAAATCAAGATGGGCAGCCAAATATAGAACAGGGATGGCCTGTTCAGGGCTGACAGTGCTCACTGCCATTGACTTTGGTAACTAGAACTGTGTGAATGTTTATCACTAAATCTTGCCAGATACCAGATGGTTCTTTTCATATATGTGACCTTATTCAAAGTAATTAGATTATTTGTGCAATAACAAAATTGTTATTTTGATACAAGAGATAATCTTCAATGTAAATCTTTTCTAGAGCATATAGTCTTAAAATGTAGCTTTGAATTCCTTAACGAAGGCTTTTCTTCTTCATTTCCACATATCAGTGTTACTGAATCCACTTTGCTGAAAATTTAAAACAAAGTTAGATACGTTAATCAATATGAAAATAAAACCACCATTAAAATGTGAAAAAACAGCCATTCTCCCAGGGGCTCCTTCTGGATGAAGCATTCTCTCATTCCTTCTGGTCCTGAGTTCTGCACTCTGGCTTTGGTCAAACACGAAATGACACACACTGGGTGTGTATATTTAAGAAACGAGTGAGAGCCACAGCTATGCATGGGGAACAATCTGGGGGAGGCAGATTGCGGAGTACAGATATAATCAGGTTTAACCTTACAACTGATGCTGGAGCCTGATGGAACATGGGTCTCTGGACACTTTTCCAGATGTAGCCACCTAGTAGCTCATTCAGCTCACCCATTTGTCATTAACTTCTGTACTTTTGATCCCCATGTAGGAATCCCTAATAGTCTCATTCACTATACCAAAGTCAGCAGGAACAAAGGCCCTTTAAACATTGTGACTATGGTCAACTATGGACCTTCCCCTCAATAGCAATTTGTTTCTCTTGTTCTACTTACTATTGAATCTAAAAATAAATTGAATGTACTTCCTTGTAACAATCAATTAAATCTTACAGGACCTTATTTTTCCAGACATATTCTGCATGTGTTTTAGATCAGTACTTAAATTTCTCATGCTTAGTTAAAAATGCATGCCCATAACATCTTGCTTTCTCTTTACTGATGCTAATTGAGTCCAAATTATAGTAACATTTGGTCTTGCATTGTTTAAAAAACCCCACAAAACTTAATGCTATATTTAACATAGAATTATATAAAATTAACTATTTCAGGTAAAAGTAACATTAAAAGGCATTCGTTGTATTATCAGACTATATTTAAATGTACTTCCAAGTCCAAGTCCAAATGAACATCCACAGAAATGATTCAACTTAAACAGTCATTTAATCAGCAAAAATTATTTCTGCTTCACAAACAGGAAAATTTTCTAAAATAAATGGCCTCTTTGTTTATACTGCATCCTGACTGATAAAAAAAAATAGTGTAAGTATTGACTGATTTATATCATTAAACAAAATGCTGTCACGGTTTAACTATCTGCCACTTCCTTTTTCATTAGTTGCATTTCATAAAGTATTGAACTTTACTGGAATATTTCATATTTATCAACACTAAATAGTCACCAGAGTTAGTGAGAATAATTGCTGCTCACAGAATATGGCACTTACCCATCACTTTAGAGTAGCAAGGCTCACAATGTATGGTCTGTCTATAAATCCAGATACTATCACCTGCTTGTAGATTTTCCAAAGGCTTCTTGCATATTTCACACTAGAGAAAACGATATATATGGAGTTCATATTATAGACTGAGAATGTATCCTCAAGGGACTGGGGATAGAAAAACCTTTCGGTTCTAAGACCACCCTCCTGAGAAAGTCACAGACAGCCCTGAAGAGATGTCACAGGGAAACTGAGTGTGCTTGCCTATCATCACATGCCAAATTTTTTAAATAAATCTCCACAGCATCCTTCCAAGTGCAGGTGAAGTACAGAGAATCTTTACCACTGACGTTTTCTTCACAACTCACAATGGAGCAGACAGAGTTGTTCACAAATTGTCTATGCCAAGGACAGGATAACCATCTAACGTCTCAAACAAAAACACAGATTTGTATTTGTCATTTGCTTGCACAAAGGAGAGCTGTGCAATCCGGGCACAGCCTGTTGAACCAAACAAGCTGCTGATCATATAGGGATGGGGTGGGGTTTGCCTCCATTTTTTTCAGACCTGTCTGCTGCTCATTGGCCAACTTCCAAATATGAGTCGCTGGTTGACTTTCAAGATGAATTCACTAGAGCAAATTGCCTTTGATCCATTTATTAAACATTTAAACTAGTTTAAGTGGTTCTCTGTTACCATGGCTGTAGAACAATTTGTCTTTTTCTATGAGTATGAGGAACATTTTTCTTCTGTCATATGCTTAAAATGGAAATGAATCACTTAAAACATAATAAATGAAAGCTATTCCTATTTACTAAGAGCAATCACCAGGAGAATTTCTTATTTTAGAAGATTTTATGCATACTAATTTTAAATTTTGAAGATATATGCTTTTGTTTAAGAGAGTATATCTTGAAACTAGAAATACTTTCATGTTATAATCGAATACTTGTTTTCATTTTTAGATTATATTTTTATAATGCTATATTGGGCTGTGGCTTAGTTTGTTTTTCATATTTATTTATTTATTTGATGCATGTGTGCCATGAGACTCAGGAGGAGAGGTCAGAGGAGAACTTGTGAGAATTAGTTTTTTCCTTATAGAATGAGGGTTCTAAAAATCAAACTCGGGTCATCAGACTGGCTGCAGGTTAGTATACACGCTCAGTCATCTTACCAGCTTTGTTTCCAAAACGAATATTTCTGATTGCTAGGTAATTGGTGGACAAACAATCAATGGACAAAGTAGTACATCTGTTTGGCTAAAGTAAATTTTCATCAACCACAGAATCCATCATAGATCTGTCACTAGATGGGTCATCATTGGTCCATCACTAGATGGGTCATCACAGTTCCATCACTAGATGGGTCATCACAGTTCCATCACTAGATGGGTCATCATTGGTCCATCACTAGATGGGTCATCACAGTTCCATCACTAGATGGGTCATCACAGTTCCATCACTAGATGGTTCATCATTGGTCCATCACTAGATGGGTCATCACAGTTCCACCACTAGATGGGTCATCATTGGTCCATCACTAGATGATGGGTCATCACAGTTCCATCACTAGATGGGTCATCACAGTTCCACCACTAGATGGGTCATAATTGGTCCATTACTAGAAAGGATCCATACTTAGGCAAGTGATTTCCAAATTGGATGCATATTAGACAAATCTAAGGAGCTTTTAAAGCTACTGGTGTCCAAAAATAATCTCTGAAATCTTAAATTTTCTGAGTATGCTAAGATTTTTTTTCCTTAATCAATCTCTGTGACTATAACTCATAACCGGCATTGAGAACCACAGCCTGCTCAATGATCTATTTTACAGGTAAGGAAACCAAAGCCGCATGCATGGACACCATACTGAGGGGCAGAGTCGGAATGGAGGTCTTCAGATACCCAGTGCGGTGCTCATGCAATGACACTGTGAGGTTTGTGACCGACACACCACCACTGCGAAGGTGAGAAGAAAGAGCTGACTAAAACCGAACTTGGATGCACTTGCTATTGAACATTTCTGTTACTTATGAAGCCACAGTTAACCACAGTCTCAATAGCAGACTGAGGTTAAACCACTGTGAGGCCCGAGTCCTGAGCTCATGACAAGAGAGCTGCTAGCTTTATTCTCAACAGTCCATTTTCCATGACGGAGTTGGTTACATATTTGCTGTAATACACTATTTATTAAAATGTTACAGAAACTTAAGAATGAACAAGCATTCACCTTTTCCAGAGACTTAAGGTTCCTGGCTAAGGGATGTGTGGTGAACGAATTCTAAGCCTAAAGCCAAGGTAGTAATTATAGACCTTTGAGGGTGGAACTGCAGAACATGAAGAAATACTTAAGTAGCATGTTATTGATGTGGATTATAGAGTGTTTAAAGTTTTAACTTTATCCCAAGCATCTCAATAAATAAATGCATTTTTCCTTGTCATTGTGCAACCTTACACTTAGTAGCATGAAACAAGTGCATGTTTACCTTAAAGCAAGTGGAATGGCAGCAGATTTGTAGTTCATCTAAAATCATTTTAGTCTCTACCCCCAAGGGCTTGCGGCAGTAAGTGCACATATCTCTTTCAATGACAGACCTGTAGTGACATAAGAATTAAAAACCATTTAAAATTGCCATCGTGTGGGGACAGGCATATTCTCTGCAAAATCATGTGGGAACATACTAATCCTGATGGAGCTTCAGGGATCACACGAACATCCAAAAACATGCTGTTTACTTATTCTCATGACAGGATTAATTCTATAACGATGTCAAGGAAACAGCACAAGGGAAAAGTCTCAGGTTATTAATTTGCCAGCAATCAAGAGCATATCTGGGCAGAAAAGGATGCTCAGTTTCCCAGTTGAACTACAACAAAAGCATTCCTCAAATCTTAAAGAACATTTAAACTAATTTACTTATACACTGCATAAAGAAATTGTGCATCTGATTAATGCAAATTTTCATCCAATAGGCCCCAAATAGAAATCCATTCAGGAATGTGTTTATGAACTCATAAATGATGAATCTACAGAGTCAGAGTCATCAGAACAGTGCTCTTGGTACCATGGTGAGAAGCAGGATACAGGGATGTAGATCACGACAAAATTAATTTATTCTCTAAAGGAAGGTATGAACCTGCCAAAAATTAGATGAGAGAAAAAGCAGTTTTTCTTACTTATTTTAGAAACTTAATATTCAACAACAAATGAACTATAAATATGATCAACACAGTAAACAAAAATTTTAAATCATGCCAGAACCTTAAGAAAAGGTTCTTTTCCTTTTGAAAGGTCTCAAAATTGTCTTAAACAGCTCCTGGCAGACTTTACTGGTTTTGAGGCATTATTAGCATGTAGGTCCAAAGTTTTCAGAGTAGCATATATGATAAGATAATGAAATAAAAATAGCCAATACTTGTACAGTGCATACATAAATTAATCTTGTCATGATCTCCATCCCTGTATCCTAACTCTATTATGCTACCAAGAGAACTGGCCCGATGACTCTGACTGCACATGTATGCAATACATGTATAGTACAATACTCATATAGTATATGATGAGTCGATTGCACATGTATGCAATATGTGTACAGTGCAATACTCATATAGTATATGATGTGTTGACTGTACATGTATGCAATATGTGTATAGTACAATACTCATATAGTATATGATGTGTTGACTGTACATTTATGCAGTATGTGTATAGTACAATCCTCATATAGCATATGATGTGTCCAGTGCATTTTCCCATGTGCTTTACTTTAAAAACACAGTTCATCCTGAGAAGTCGGGATTGTTATCATTTGTGTCACTTTATAGAAAAGAAAACAGGGACACAGAACAGCAGGTGAACTGCTGCTCATGCAGCCAGGGAGGAGCTCTGAATGGAGCAGTGTGATCCAGAGTCCTTCGCCTGCCTGGGAGGCCTTCTAACCTCCAGAGCTGAAATGAGCTGGTCATGCCCAGGCACCCCCCTTCCACCACCAAGAGAACAAGCAGAGAAAGGGGAACTGAGAGGAAGAGAACGTAAGAGGAAAGGCATTAAGAGAAGATAAACCTTGTCTGGTTTTATACTTCCAGTCATGCTAATTGCATCATCCTAATCACTATATACATACCTATATATATATATATATATATATATATATATATGTGTGTGTGTGTGTGTGTGTGTGTGTGTGTGTGTATGTAAAGATTTACATATATGTAAATCACACAATTCATATATATGTGCAAATTACATAGTGGTTTATTTATAAATATTTGCAACTTCTAATTTATTCTGTGACTACTTGCATACACATGCCTGACAAATATTTCCCTATGAACTGTCCCTATCTTCACATATGTATATATGTATGTATACACACACACACATATGTACATATATATATATATATAATGCATAAAACAAGGCTTCCCATTTAAGACTGCAAGCACATCACCAGCAGAAAATAGTGCCTCATAGAATCATCGTCTCACTCTATCAGCACTGATAAAGATCCAGAAACACAGGGAAAGAAGAAATGGCCTCTTCTGGTGAGATGCTCTTTGCACTGGGAAGGCCATGGTCGTGAAATGCCATCAGAGAAACGGTTGCTCCATTTATTTCCCTTAGCAAGTGGAATGTCAGTTTGTGTTTTCAAGAGTCACCTACTGTGTGCCTGCTAGGTGCTAAGTGCTGCATGAGAAGCAGAAGCCACACCTGAAAACAAGCTCGGCCCTTACTCCAGGCAGCCACCTTTCCAGCCCCTGTGGGAAAAACCCTAACAGAGGAAAAGTGGGCTCTTGTGTACCAGCCTGGAGAGATGGCTCAGAGGTTAAGAACACTGACTGCTCTTCCAGAGGTCCTGAGTTCAATTCCCAGCAACCACATGGTGGCTCACAACCATCTGTAATGAAATCTAGTGCCCTCTTCTGGCCTGCAGGCGTACATGCAGGCAGAACACTGTATACATAATAAATTAAAAAAAAATCTTTAAAAAAAAAGTAGAAGTTAAGTTGCATCCCTGGAGATCTGCAAGTCACTTTCCTCTGCCTAGAGGCCCCCATGGAATGTGAAACAGTAAGGAGGGTCACCAGAAGAAAAAGCCTGGGATAGGGCCAGTTCTCCATCCAGCATTAAATGTGTACTCATCCTAACCCTTCTAGGAACTGAGATGAGTCCATGTGTTGGACCAGGCCATCCACATAGCTACCTTTGGAAAACCACAAGAAGGAAGGGTTGAGGGCAGTCTAGTGAAGCAATAAAACCTAGGTACTTATAACACTGCAGGCAGGGGACTCTTGGGAATCACCAGCAGGAAGAAGGCCAGAGAAGTTTGGAAGGTGTGGAAAGGTCTTCTAGAATAACAGACATAAAAGCCAACCTCGGCTAGGAAGCAGGTTCCTGAATGCAGAACTGTGCTGCGGTCTCTTTGTGTATATTCCTAACAGTTTCCTACCTGTCTACCAATCAAAACCATTTCCAGACAAAGGACAAAGAGAAATATACATATATGTATATGCACATGAAAGTGTGCGTGTTTGTGTGTATGTAAGTGCGTATATACACTTTATGTCTATAACAGAAATATAAGCATACTCACCTATCTGAAGTTGAGTAAACAGTTTGTATATATTTTCCTGAGATATTTTCCTGATATCCATCCTTTGGTGATTTACTAAAAATGAACATATAGGGGCATGTGAGAATCAGGACATTTTCCCTCATATTGCCCCACATAGTTAGGAAACATGCATCCCTTCACACATTGTTATTATATTATTATTTATAACATTGCAAACACAGATGATATCCTTACACCTTTCATTTTTTTTAATCTGTAGAAATAATGATGCAAAGCCCCAGCAAGTCAACGCATAACACACACACACACACACACACACACACACACACACACACACACACCTTTGCCAAGGCTATCGGGTTTGTAAATGACAAACAATGACTCAATCCTGAACCCAACTCTAGAGACTTTCATACTATACTGTGCCATCTGTCAATATAGACTTTCAGAAAATCAGAGATACTTGAGGGACATCACTGTCACATTAGGGTAACAAACAAACAGTAGCAAATCCATCCTTTCAGAATATTCTACCCTACATATTATTGGTCTGACACAATACAGTATTATCTGTTACAGTTACACCTCTCAAATCTGCATTTGCATCAAAAGCACATTGAATTTGTTAAAACGACAACAGCCGGGACCCCCATGGCAGAGTTTCTGATTCTTCAGGTCTGAGATGGGGCCAAGTGATTTTCACTTGTAACAAGTCTGCAATGATGCTGTTGAAGCTGGCCCCAAAACTACATTTGAGAATTGCTGTCTGAACACACATACTCAGCTATTCCAATAACATATACACAGTAGTTTACAAAAGCAAACCATAGCCAACATGGCTAAATAATTCAAATATGGTTTAGTTCCTGTACTTGTATAAGTCAAGTTAATATTTTTAATCAACTATTCAATAAGTAAAAAAAACAAAAACCAGAAAGTAGTGTTTAGTAGACTATGCCTAATACTAGAGATTTACTGTTTCTTAAAAATTGATACCAGAGTTGTTGGCCTTAGTTTCAATGAGACGTTTCTTTAGGAAGCAAAATGTATCGATGTGCTGCTGTCCTACAGGGCCACCCATGTGTGCATACAGAGTACCATGTAAGTGCAGAATAAATGCCTATTCCTTTTACCCTATTTGCCAATATTTTGTGTCTTGTCTTTACTGTACATCATCCTCATGCTATTTACATATGTGCCAATTTCTTTCAGATTCAATAACTATTTATTATTTTAATTTTTTCCTTAAATGTTTTCTCTTTTAGTTTAATTAAAAGATAATAGAAATTACTGTCATGGAGCCACAATAGAGTGAGATTTGAATTAAGAAAAAATTTCTTTGGAAGCTGTATGCTTAAGTTACACATGGGTTTGACCCAAAGAGGCATTGAGTTGCCCTGGGAGGTCCCATGCACACAAAAGATTCCCCTGAATGGCTGTCTTGGGCTTCTTTGAAGTAAACTCACACATGTCACATACGTCTGCATTTGTGTGCTTTGCCATTATATTACCCTATAATTAGGCCAATTCTCACTTTTTATACTCCTTGAAAACTAAATATGTTGTGATCCATAGCCTCAGCTGACATTTTTGTCAATATCCATCATTCCATGCAGATGGTTCCATAGAGCATCCATAGATGCTCTGCAATTTAGGCTATGATATGTTGACCTGTGTTAGACAGGAAGTAAATAGTACATAGAGTCTTTGAATTAAGGTGATTCAAATTAAAAGGTTATTATAACCAAATAGTCACACATTTATGTAATAACATTTGATTATGAATCCTATTACTTATTCATTAGTGATTTGAAATACTTTTGAGTATATACAATGACTATAAGTCATTTATCAACTGCTTAATATTGGAAACAACATAAATATTATATGTGTAGAACTTACAATATTCTTAAACTATCTTCTCTATGAAAAAAGCACACCCTGAAATGGTAGTACCTTTTACATGGCATAGATCATTTCACAGCTATAAAAAAGTGAAATATCTGAAGCACTTTTCCATTACCTATTCTCCACATAGGTCCTTGTATAGATAACAGTGTCCTTAGGGCCAGCATTCCTGGTTCCAGTATTGGAGCTACAATAAAAACATTTAGTTTCATATTGAAATATAACTTGTGAGGACAATAAAAACAAAACCATTTTTCCAATTCAATGCAAAAGGTAATATATATATATATATATATATATATATATATATATATATATATATTAGTTTATATCTATTCTGTTCAAATGAAAATGTTCAAATGTTATTGACCAACTCCTGCAGAATTTTGCCACCCCTTCCCATTCAATTCTTAACTTCCACTGTCTTGTTCTACTTCAGTATTAGTATTCAGTATTAGTATTCATTCAGTATTTCTACTACTGTGAAAACTAATGATTCAGTACATTTGTCTAAGAGCGTGAAGATCATTCCAACTATCGATGTACTGTATTTTAATGTCTTTTCTCCTGATGCCATGTTCATTTCTAAGCCATAAATTTCCCCCATAACTTAAGTTAAAAGTGGACTTTAATTGACTAGTCAAACCTCAGATTTAATGACATATTCAGACAGATCTAGTTCAAGAATGTGAATACACAGGATGGAGAGATGGCTCAGTAAGGAAGAGCACTTGTTGTCTTAGGGAACCCATGTTTGAATCCAAGCACCCACACTGGGTGGCTCCCAATCATCTGTAATTCAAGTTACAGGGATCTGATACTTTCTGGACTCTATGATACCAGCACATGTGTGGCCACATACATAGACTCGGGTATATATACACACAAAAGAAAATCAATGAATCCTTAGGAAAAGAATGCCAACGTCAATGTCACAATCATGTTTTATATAATTGTAGACTTTAAAGCAACAACCACATTCTATATTTTTCTATGTGCATCCCAGCAATAATTGAGTTGCTGACTCAACAATTTCATGTAAGGGTATTTACATATAGAAAGTTCCACACTTTAAAAAATGATTAGCTTGCATGTAAACAAATAAACACAGGGATAGTTCTGTGTTTGGTTTTGTAATTGTCTTTAGTACCTGAGGCTGTTTCTGGCCTCATAAGAATAGACAGAGGTTCTCGTGGACTCCTTGAGTAGAGTGTTGGTGAATCCATTGACTTGGCCATCTAGCCTGCAAGAGGAAACATATGTGTTTAGCACTCAAAATCAAGGTCACTTGCAAATACTTTTGATTTATTAAGATTTTACTCAGTAGACAGTATTTCTTTACATCTACCTAGTTTCTGCACAGAGACATACAGTAAAGAATAGCAGCCTGCTTTACTGGTTCCACTGGCTCCACAGAAATCACTGTCTTACCTTCAAGAATAATCCACAAACACAGGCATAATATCTAATGCTACGTTAGAATGTATTTTCATCAAGGATGGAAATTGGTTCCTCAATCATTTTCATAATAGTTGTGTCCTTTAGAAAGCTTCCTTTGTACCATATATCTAAGAATTCATCAACTTAATGAATGATCCAGGGGTTGCTCTGAGACACTTCAGTTCCCGCTTTGCTTTAATGAGAGGTAATACTTTGAAGACTACAGAAGTCTGACCTAGATTTCTGCTGATCTAAAAATGTCATCGTGTTTAACAGAGCATAAACACATTCAGTTTCTTCCCTGCAACAGAGGAAATTCTCAGTGAAAAAATAGTGAAAGTTGTAGCATTTTTTTCCTCTTCTGTGTTGGTAAGCTTTGAGAGCAAAGCCATGAAAGCCCACAGGAAAGCTCAGATTTTCATTAAGCCTTATTGTCAAACAGGCTGTCTGTGGGTGGGTTTGTGCACTTCAGTGCTGGTGCCCACAGAAGCCAGAGACAGCAATCCTCTGGAGTTGGAATAATAGACATTTCTGAGCTATCCAACATGGGTGCTGGGAACTGAACTCTGGTCCTCTGCAAGAGCAGTCCGTGCTATTAACTACTGAGCCTTCTCTCTAATCTTGTCCTATATAACTTTTAAGGAAGAAAATGTGTTACTTGATCATCTCTGACATACAAAAAATAAAATTAATAAAATAAATGAAAATATTAGAAGAAGGTATCTGAAACTATTTTAAACTATAAAAATTTTAGTCTTTGCTAAACATACACTAACATTTCCAAGTATGAAGCTGTGAATTGAAGTTAGGATAACCTTTCTCTCTCTTGTGTTAAAAGAAACTTTACAAAGTTTTGATGTATGATATGTTCTGATATGTTGATTTTAAATGCATCAGGTCCTAACATCATAAATTTAAAGTTATTACATTTATGTGATTATAAATGTGTATACACATTTCTATGTCAATAAATGTTTGTGGGTAGTTGTGATGTAATTAACATATTATATATTCATCCATAATAAGTTACTTTGTGTTTATTTACCTTTAACAATCTTGCTTTAAAGGAGATGTTTTCAAGTTATAGCAAGTAGTAAAAATGTGGGATCACTACTGTCATAGAAAGTTTTCTCTTGGGATTACTAGGCTTTGTCATTCCAAGAACAATAAACTTGGTTCTGAATTGTTGAAAAATATTCAAATTTAGTGCTTTCCTAGAATTCATAAGACCTCAGTTTCAAACTCCAGTCTCACTAAATAAATATTAATTATATTCAAATCACATAATACACACTATAAAATTTAACTTAAGCAATGCATAGCTACCCAAGAAGAAGGCTATGGGGGTTGCTGAGATGAATTTATGTTGTCTTTGGTGGTGCTAATTCAAAACATCACCCGTTTATAAAATACACAAACAGAACTGGGCAATAATCTGTAAACACTGCTGTTCTCTACTGAATTGTGTTCCTTAAAATGCATACACCAAAGTCCCAGTCTTCAATATATTGTTTCCTCACCAATTTTTTCTTGCTTCATGAATAGAAAAGGGAGCAGCTTTTAAATCAACTTAAGTGGAAAGTTCCTTAACAGCATTTAAACACTCAGAGTGTATATGGCATTGATCACTTCCAAGTAATGTTTGCCTGAAATGGGCTAAGCGTCAGTCCTAGGCTGTGGATGCATCTCTACGAGCCGCAGATCCTACTGAACATTTCTTTTCTCTCATTCAGTCATAGACTTTGCTGGGGTCACAACAAAGAGGCACAGATGATATGGAGAACCAGAGCAACATAAACTCTACCAGATTCAAAGGCATTTTGCAGACAGTATGGGGAAGACAGCCAGTTCCTCTTTCCCTAGCCATTCTACTCTTTGCAGAAAATACCCACAATATTATTTCTTACATAATCACAGAAGCTTTAAAAAAAAAAAGCAGAGGCACCTTGGGAAGGTTAAAAAAAGGAAATGAGTATTTTTAGAGTCCTTTAAACATGTGTAGAAGCATTGTTACACATGGAGAAGTTATCAGTTCCTCCCCAAGTTGTATGTAACAATGCAGTATAGCTCCTATGCTTAATATTCCTTTTAATTTCAAAGTATTAAGAGGCATTGATAGTGTGAAGGCCTTATCCTCTGTTGTGCAAAGAAATTTCAAATAAGAGTTTGCTTTGTTGCTATGAGAAATTTGTGTGTGTGTGTGTGTGTGTGTGTTTGTGTGTGTGTGTGTGTGTGTGAACATGAGATATCCAAGGAAGAGAGCTGCAGGGTACTTCTTTCCCTACTGAAAACCTACCAAGCAACAGTGAGTAAAAATAAATGCTTACAAACCAAGTAAAGGGCTTTGAATTTTCATGACACCTTTTATACCGAGTAACAGGATGGAGCAACAGGAATGAGAAATTCGAGCACAATTAGAACATTGTTAGTTTTTTTCTGTGTTAGATATTAAGCATATGGTGCTATAACTTTTTTGATTTGGATAGTACTTACATTTAAATGCCACAATTCAATCCAACTCCCCCAGAAAATTTTCTAAACTATCACTCAGGTACAAAAGGAATTCCTAAGAAATAAAGCCAGTTGCAATCAATCTTACCTTCCATTCTTATTTTCAGATGCGTGAGAATCTACTTCAGCCAAATTTTCTAGGCCCTGGTCTCTAAAGAAAAATAAAAATAAAAATAAATAAAAAGAAACAAAAACATAATGTGTATGTGTGGTTTAGTTGCAACACAATTGTAGGAAATAAAAAATATTACAATAAAAATCAGTACATCATCTTAGACATAGTCATTTTTGGTTTAGAAGTGCCTAGGAGACTAGAAATTGGATATTGAACTATTTAATCTATTGGTTTGTAGGTAAATATGCAAGTGTGGCTGGACTAGCCATGAAGGGTGGATAGCAGGCTTGCCTAGTATGTAGAAGGTCCTGGGTTTGATTCTAGCACCATTTAAAGGGGTGTGGATTTTATAAGTGACAGAGAAATTGCTTTTGGAAAGCTTGGGAAACCCAGTCTAAAAAGTGTCTAGCTCAGACTGAATGGGTGCTAGGTTTGTGTCCTGAAGCATTGATCTCAGGTTCACATGGATTACCTCATTCAAATCTCACAGTTCTGGCATCTGGAGCTTGGAAACACTGAGTGAATCTCCCAAAGCCTGTGAACTAACTTACAGAAGAATGAAGAACTGAACTCACACTACCCTCCTCCCAAAAAACCAATGCTTGGATGTTTTTAGCTGGAGACTTCATTCACACCGTTGGGTTATAGAAATATAAAACCTCAGACCAACAACTGAATAAGAAATTCACAAGGTAGAGGATAAATGTGATGATGAGATTAGGCTGTTTCCATGATTTTACACCTTCCATGATTTACAGGGTCCTCTGACATGTTGTCATAGATTAGTCATTTGCATAGTACCCTAATGTTAAAAGACCCTGTTTGCTGTTTTCATGAGTTTGGAAAAGCCTCTGTTGTGAAGCCTCCTGAGGAGAAGCACCACTTCGGAATAACAGTGAGGCCCATTTCTTCCCCTACTTCCTTCAGTACATACTTCCTTAGGCTTCATTTTTTTAAATGAGGCTCCTAATATCCAGTACAACATGGTTTGGGTGAGAAAAATACAAAATAGCAAAATGATTAAGCTGTGAGTAAACCAAGTAAAAGAAGAGTAATATTTAATAGAATGCAGTGAGTTAGTGGTAAATAGTTAATAGACTGTGGTAATGTCAAAGTGAGTTATTGACTCCACAGTCCTGAGCGGCCTTTTCATTTTCATTTCAGTCCAAAATTTTACAGCGTTGGAATTAACTCCAGTTCCTAAAATTCTCCCTTCTTGCTCTCCAAAATGTTGGATTCAAATAGGGTTACTCTACAAAGAATCAGCATGTAGATTCTCACTCACAAAATTAACATTGTTATGGAAGCAAAATACAATAAAGTACCCTCATGTTTATGTGGAGAGAGATTTAGTAATATCCAAGTCATTAATAATTGATAAACTATGCAAATTAGTCAGCACACTTTAGCTTCTTAAACTTCACACTTAAAAAATATTTGTGTGCTTTTAAAAATGTAGAAATTAGTTTAAATATATTTAATGTGAGTTTAAATATTTCAGTAAAATGTACCTCATTTCAGGAATATTAATTGATGTTGTAATCTGAATGATGACACAAAATTCAAAACTGAATTCCTCCACATTATCAGACTAAGTTGTATAAGGTCAATCCTGCAAATTTATAATGCAGATAGAAGGCTTTGAATTTGCCTAAATGATGGTTTTTCACTAATTATTGCAAAAGTCATCATTGTGATATCAGAGGCTACCTACCTATTATCTTAGCATCCTTCACTAGTAAGTGTTTCTTTCCTGTTTGAAAGCTTGAGACATGGACTATCCCAGTATTCATTCAGACTGGCAGTGATAGATGGTGAAAGATCACAAGATATGTGAATGTTGGGAAATCAGCATCCTGTACCAGGAAGTTATTCTCTTTCCACTGTGATAACATTGAAGTAATCAGGTGCTACATTAAGGAGGCTGTGGCTTTTCACAGCTTGGAAGTAAGGTCTAATACAGACTTGAGTAAAGTATGTGTTACATAAATATGTGAAGACACAAGTTAAGGAGAAGAGTCTGGAAGAGAGTTCCCCCTTGAGTCCAAGAGGAAATCAACCCTGCCATGATGACTTGACCTCAGGTTTCTCACTTCCAGAACTATGAGAGAGCATTCTTCATGTGTTTAGGTGATTTAATTTATGAGTTTTTTTAGGGTATCCCTACAAAGTCTGTATTGAGTTTCTCAAGAACAGTTCACTTGTGACTGCTACAGATATTGAGTATTTCCTTGCCTACAAACTTCATGCCTGCTCTTTGGGCTGTAGTTTTGGAGAGAAGGAAAAAGAATAGCTCCACCTGAGGAAGCAGAAGAACCCAGATTCTTGCAGATTCAACAACTACAACAGGAAACTCAAAAACTGGGCCTATTCATGCATTCAAAGAAGATACTCCCAAAGTAGGGTGAGTCATCAAAGAAACGATATTATTAGGTTTCATAAGATTTTCATATTTTATTAGATAACAGCACACATCAAGTTTGATTGTATAAGTTATAAGGTTTTTAATTTGAATAATCTATACCAATATTTAATGCAAACTTAATTATGAAAATCACACAATATGCATTTGCTTGGGGTATGCACACTGATGGATAGCATTAGCTAGATGTGTAGATCCAGTAAAAGAACTTTAGACTACCCAAGTTAAAGGATGCAAAAATAAACACTCTTTAATTAAGATCACATGTATTTCATGGCATCTTTTACACTGTGGCAAAAGATGAAAAACTGTGAGTCAAAGTGTAGAAAATAGATTTTTTTTTTTTTATAGAATTCCAAGCCCAATGTTGCAAGGTTGAGCAAATGTTTGATTCAAAAGTCTTTCTGTGTCTTTTGTTTACATTTTGGTGGTAGGAATCAAGCCCAGGGTCTTGCACATTCTAGACAAGACCTTTGCTAAGCTATATCCATAGGTCTAAGAATTCCTTAAAGATGAAGATTTAAATACATTTTGGGCAGACTGTGAGTTATTTAAGGAATAAAGCCACATACATATTTTTCAGTATAAGAATTCTCCATCTTGTAATAATATAATGCATTCTCCATAGTTGTGTGTTTTATGATACTTTGTGTTCTGACAAATAAAGCTTGCCTGGAAATGAGAGAAGCAGAGCAGCAGCCACTAGAAACTTCTTACCTCTACGAATCCTCAGACTGAATGGGGTGAGATCCTGTGTCCACTTGCCTTATATTCCTGACTCCATCTCCCTAGTGCTGGGGTTAAAGGTGTGCACCACCGCTACCACCAGGCTCTGTTTCTCTTTGAGACTGATTCAATCTTGTGTAGCCCAGGGTGGCTTTGAACTCCTGATCTCCCTGCTTCCTCCTCCCAAGTGCTGGGATTAAAGGTGTGTGCCACCACTGCCTGGCCTTTATAGTTACCTACTGGTTTGCTCTGCCCTCTGATCGCCAGGCAAGCTTTATTTGTCAGAACACAAACAAAATATCACCTTATGGGCCAAATCAAGGAGAAACATGGAGATTCTTTCTCATTAGCTTTTCCTAGGATGTGTTCCCATGTGAGAAAGTTATTAACTCAGTTCTAACCACTCTTCCTCTCTTGTGCGTGTGTAGGAGGAGTTTATTAATAGGGTACAATATGTTTCTCTCTACACTGCTAACTTAATCTGCTTCTGTAAAGTGTCCAACACAGTTACAAAATTAAAGAGTTTTCATACAAAAATTAACTATTTTTTCTTTTATGTCAGGAATTCATATGAGGCATTAGATTTTTAACTCAAAATGAATCTCCTTGAAAGGAATATTGCATTTAGTGAAATAACTCACATAATTCCTTGGCTCACTGACATAGCAAAATGGGATGGCATTTACATACTTTTATAATTCTGTTCAATAAACATTTTATATTCTTAAAGATTTTATATTCAAGAAATTAATAGATCTGAGTATGATTTAAATATTTAAAATATAACACATAACTAAAAATTTTAGTGTTCCTGAGTCACTGTGATTCCTTGAGATTGTCATAAGCAGGAAACAGTTACTGACTCAAGTAAAGAAATCAATCATATAAAATAGATTTATTTTATTTAGTTTCAGTGGTAGGGACTTAGAATGTTGGAGATGGAATACAATAGATTTTACCTAGGTAGACTATCATAAAATGTTGATTATTCTGATATTTAGTCTTTAATTCACATTATATTTATTAAAAATTTAATATCTATCAGGCATTGTGTCATTATGCTTCTGCACTATATAAAGAAAGAAACAAGGTAATTCCATTCATACCTATAAAGACCTTATAGATAGAAAGAGATTATTAGACAATAATTCACTCAAAATTCATATATGGAATGCTGTACGTATGGAGGTTGAAAGGGGCTTTCCTGAGTCTGAGTGAGAAACACCAGGCTGGCACCCAAAGGATACACAGTAGCTTCTGTAGCAATGTATTGAGAGGGGAACCAAGAGTACAGGTCAGAGAGAATGAGGATGGGAAATGGGTTTGCTTGTGAGAGAAGAGTAACCGGACTCGGGGGAATCACACAGAAAACATCATGGTGGTCTTTGGAGCACGGTTAAGGAGCATGGCTGTGACCCAATGGTAATAGGAAGACAGTGAAGGATTATACTTGGAAAGTGACGTCATCAGATTCCTGTTTTAGGAAGATCACTGTTCATCCCTGTGGACAGATTGAAAGTTAGAAGTCGTGACTAGCAGCAGGAGTGGTTAGAAGGCTGGAAAGTAACCATCACTACAGCAGCACTATGGAAAATGCAGAACCACTTCCAGAGATTGTGATGAGAAGCATCTATCGTGATGACCGCTGGATTCGAATGAAGCAGTAGAGTAACTCACCCCATGTTTATGTCTTGAGCAGAAATATGAGAGACACACAGCGGGGAGATAGGAAGAAACTGACCTCATGTTACAGTACTAAAATCTTAGAAGGTATATGTTAACAAACAGGAAAAATGTTGACAAATGGAACTATAACTACTAATAACTAGAAGTTATTTTTTGCTCTATGTGAATGCCTTTTTTACTAGAAAATATTTGATGTCACTAATGTTAATTTTTGCAGTATTCTTCAGTACCTATTGGAAGCAGAAGTTTAGAACATTAATAATTAATCTAACATCAGCTTATTGACTACAGATAATGGGGTCTATCTTTAGTGTTGGTTCACATTACTACTAAAAGCCATGCTATTTCTCATTGAGTAAATGGAAATTCTGAGCACATCTGCATTTGTTCTGGTTGCCGTGTTCCTGGGATCTCAGAGTGCTTGTATATATTTCTGATGGATGAGTGAAGTCTATTCAGTCTCTAACTGAGAATTAAATATGCAGCTGCTGAAAGTGTCAGCGAAGTCACACAAAAGATCGGATTCACTGCTGCTTTGCTACTAAATGATCAGTGCGTGTGTCACATTGCACTGATGTAAGAAGGCTTTGTGATGGTTCATCCCACTAGTACAAGCTTAAAAACTCCCTTTTCTTTGCCTATGCTGAAATCAAGAGGGCAGCATGGTTACATGGTAGATTCAGGTGGTTGAATCAATCCATAAATTCACTCTTCTAAGACAGTTCAGTCTTTTCTATCTGTCTGTTGTGTGATGATTCTTGGCCATTTATCATCAAATCCACTACACTACTGGAAAACAGTCAGACAGGTTAGCTTAGCTGACCGAGCTGTCATCATAGAACTCTATGGTGCCAGATTGTTTAAATCATTTTAATAGTAATGTATTTGCTTAAGGAAAAATTTCTTTTTTCTGTGGATTTCTGGAAAAGGAGTTGCTAGCATACAAACTACTTTTCATAAAGTTTGCCTCTTGCAGTAAAACCAGAGGCAAGACTCTTACAAGAACTGCCATTGCCAATATAACACATTCGATGGTGATAGGCAAGAGGCAGGAGTTGGCACGTTCCCCTATTAGTTACTGCATAGCATGGCTATTAGACCCATTACCAACATTACCGGTAATCTCCAAAAACTGCTACTGATGACAAGGACAATCCACCCCATTAACTACCACTGTGAAGAAATTATTCTATTTAATTCTAATTCTCTGGAGTAAATAGATCTTGTTAGAGAGCCTAGGATCACTTAACCACATATCTTTGCTGGTCTCCTCAAGGTCATAATGTCAGAAGAATCTGAGTTTATATCTACTGTATATTTTCTTCCTTTGAAGGACAGTTTGGTATCTTTGAGCTATAGTTTCTTCTATAAAATAAGGCATAGAAATATCTATCCCATGGGGTATAGTGATCATAAATCATATGTAATTTTTAGTCTGACTGCCCAGGGGCTCAGTAAGTACCCTCTGAGTAGCCATTGATTTTTAATTACTTTCAGGATGCCCTGCTTTTAAGACTCAACACCCCAGGATAAAAACACACAAGAACAAAATAAGGTATTGATGTAGGACACAAGGTAAGACTACATTGTCCTTTCTCTCCTCATAGGTTCATAGTACTTTTTGTAAATAATTTGTTGCCTTCATTTCAGAATATTAGGCCATGATTCTCAGTTATGTAATTATGATGATAAAATTTCAAGTAAGTAGAACAATGTGAACTTTAATTCACTGATAAAATGTGTGTTGCTACAAATTTTCCCTATTAGTTATTGCATAACATGGTTATTAGACCTGTTACCAACATGACTGGTTGACATGCTGATCATGACAAAAAAATCCACCCAAATAATTTGACTTAAGGCCCACTCAACAGGAGGGAAATCATTCCTGGTACTAGAAACCTAGATATCTTCCTGGGGCTAGTGTGATTGTGGACTTTAGAAAACAATCTATTATCATCACTTTGCTAGACCCTCCCACTTCCTTACTACATTTTAAATCTTACCCTTATCCATAGATAAAATGTAGTGACCTCCCCATCAAAGATGTTTCACTTTATAGCAAATGGAGACCGTTACAAAAAAAAAAAAAAAAAAAAAGCACAACTAGACACAATGCAGAGATCAACAGATTGTGGAGAGCCCAGCCCCCACAGACACATCTGCATCACAGCTCCTGTATCTGTGGCTTATGGAACATCATAGAAGAAACTACAGAAAGATTTTTAAGAGCCAGACTATCAGGAAGTCTGCTATAAAATAGTCTGTCCTAGAAATAGCTGCATAAACAAGACCAGAACATTGACAATATTAACATGTACTCATGTGAGAGGGAGAAATTTCACAGGATCACACCCTTAGACCAAAAGTATAGAAAACTAGTGACTGATGGGAGAGGGCGATTAGCCTCTCCCAGGAATGAGCTGCTTTACTGTTTATCCAAAGTGGTCATCCCTGAAACTATATACACACAAACAACAAAAGTAGACTCTTGAAGATTGTATTTATATATTTGTACATACATGTACACATGTGCACATAACAATAATAAAGAAAATAAGACTGTCAGTTTGAGAGTTAAGGGACATAAGAGAGGTTGTAGCAAGGGTATCTCGAAGGAGATGGAGGAGGAAAGGGGAGGGAGAAGGGGGAAGGATATAATTCTACTTTAATTTTGAAATAGCAAATAAGAGAATAGCTTTAAACTCAAGGTGTAAGCCCAAGGTTAAAATGTGCTATAATATTCTGTAGGCCCAGACAAGCTGAGGATCTGGGATTTTGAAGAACTTAAGTATCCTTTCCAAGATGGTTGAACTTCCTCAAAATATTTTGTCCTCTTATTTAGTTTTATTCATTTTTCATTTCAAAATTCCTTTTCCTTTAGGGGACAAACATTGGGTTGTCTTGGTACAAATAAGAAACCTAGAACTCACTCCAAAACCAAGCAATTGATGCAAGAAGAGTACAATATATCTCCTGTTGACAAGAGACACACAGGTCACAAATGGGTTCTTTGAAAACTAAAGAAAATTAGAAGCCTTATTTAAAAACGAAAGAAAGAAAATTCCTACCCTAGGACCTTGGGAATACATCAAAACCAGTCAGGTAAGGTTACCTACCGATTTGTGTTTCTGAGAGCAGAAGGCTTCACTTTAATAAGATTGTCCAAGTCTTGGCTGTTTAAAATAGTGAAAGGAGGTGGATTAGTAATGGCAATTTAGTTATGCTAGATCAACACAGCAATAGTAAAAATCCATTTCATACAAGGAAAACAGCTGAAAACATGAATTAGCAGCTTTAGTTTTATTACCTTTGATCGTGTCTGATCACTGTAGGATTCCCCCTGATGATGCCATCCAGATCATGGTTTCTTTCAGTGGAATAATAGATAGAAAACTGGTTAATGATAAAGTTATTTTAGTGAGGACAACACTTTAACTCTTCTTGGAATAATAAAACATAATATTCTTCCTGACACAAACTCAATAAAAAATAAGTTTTATTACCTTTGGTTGTTTGCAAGAACATCGGGATTTACTTTGATGAACTTATCAAGATCTTGATGTCTTCAAGGGGAAAAAGACAAAAGCATTAAGGGTTAGAGATATTAGTGTTTAGGGCATTCGTAAATGGCCTCTACGGGAGGCAAGGATTCTATCATGGGATACATCATTGTAGTGGAGAACAGCAATGGTATCTTTCCCACCCAACACAGGGTACAAGAATTATGCTCAGGAGAACTTGCTGAGTCCTCACACTTATTTCCAGAGCAATCTGCCAGGGCGTGCATCTTCAGTATTCCACAAGGAGTATCTAAGGATTAACATTTTTCAGTGTTTCAACATTATGAAGACACAGACTGATTCTCAAGCCTTTGCCATTTTAAAAATCATATCAATATCAAAAACAGGAGCTCAAAAGCTGGGATGTCCTGAACGTAAAGCTAGCAAACAGCTTTCCAGCAAGCTATCAAAATCATGACTTCAGACTGACTGAAGAACTGAGCTGAACTCAGTTGTTCATTGTTAAATTAGGTGCATACTCTATAAATTATCCACTATCCTCTTGAAGATCTCCTGTTTTGCTTTGCTTCTTTTTTACTTTCTCAACTACAAAATAGCATTTCCCCCCCAGACTCATACCATCAAGCTCCTTGGTATAACTCCAGTCTTGAGGTCTAAGGAGTGGGCATTTAAAGTATCCTTCTTTTTTGTTAGGATGGAATGTTCTGTAGATATCGATTAAGTCCATTTGAGTCATGACATCAGTTAAGTCCTTTATTTCTCTGTTAAGTTTCGATTTGGGAGATCTGTCCAGTGGTGAAAGTGGGGTGTTGAGGTCTCCCACTATTAATGTGTGGGGTTTTATATGTGGTTTAAGCTTTAGTAATGTTTCTTTTACATATGTGGGTGCCCTTATGTTTGGGGCATAAATGTTCAGAACTGAAACTTCATCTTGGTGGATCTTTCCTGTGATGATTATGTAATGCCCTTCTTGATCTCTTTTGATTGATTTTAGTTTGAAGTCTATTTTGCTGGATATCAGGATGGCTACACTCGCTTGTTTCTTAAGACCGTTTGATTGGAAAGTCTTTTCCCAGCCTTTTATTCTTAGGCAGTATCTATCTTTGAATTTGAGATGTGTTTCTTGTATGCAGCAGAAAGATGGGTCCTGCTTTCGTATCCATTCTGTAAGCCTATGTCTTTTTATAGGTGAATTAAGTTCATTGATATTAAGGGATATTAATGACCAGTGATTGTTCATTTAGCTTTTTAAATTACAATCATTGCAAACACTGATCATGTAAAGCAGTGAATGTCATTCTGGCTTCTCCATACCTGCTTTTAACATGCTCTGATCACGTCACCCTTTCTTCTACCTGCTCTGAACCTTCTGGGTCTCCCTTCCTCCCCCAGTTCCCTTTCCTTGCCCTAACAGTCCATTTCTGCTGTGAATGCCTTGTTGTTTTGTTTTGGGAAGTTTTGTTTCCATATAAGAGAGGAAACACATGACTTGTCTTTCTTCATTTGTGATGTTTTACTTAACATGATGCCTTCTAGTTCCAGCCATTTTCCTGTAAATTATATAATTTTGTTCTTCTTCATGGCTGAGTAATTCTCACATAGATACATGGATATGCATATGCACTAATCTGTTTTCTTTACCCATTCATTTGTTGACATGCAGCTGGGCTGATTGTATAGCTTAGCTGCTGCAAACAGTGTCATGATAAACACAAGTGTGCAGGTACTGTTAGAAGCTAAGTGAGGTAGGAAGCCTTAGGGACCAGTGTCTACATTAACATACCTTCTAATTATCTTTTCCTTTGACCTTGGCTAAAACTTTTGGGGCAATAAGCTAAGTGTGCCCAGAATCTCTATCCACCATCTGTCTTTCTTGAGCTCTACGACCTGAAACCAAGGTTGCTCAACAATGCTCATAATCTACTGAGCATGCTTGGCAGTGTGCCTGCCCTCAAAATGCTCTTCCATGGGAATATGCATAAGCTTTCTGAACAATATGGTCCTTCGCTTAAGGAAACTAGTACTTTGGAAATGACTACTATGTTTTCCTTACCTGGAAAGGTTTATTACAAACCTGCCACACTCTTTTATTTCTTGTTTTGGTTGTTTTTTTTTTTAAACCTTGAATTTTTCAAGATACAAACCCCCCTGCATTGCATTAAAATGTCTTTTTTGAAGGCTGACAATTTTCTCTATATATGTCCAAGAGTGGTATAGCTGGGTCATATGGTAGGTCTGATTTTAGTTTCTTGAGGAAACACCATAATGATTTCTGTAATAATTTCCATTCCCACAAACAGCATATACATATAAGGGTTACTTTTGCCCCCTTATGTTCATCAGTATTTGGGGGTTTTGTTTGTTTGTTTGTTTATAGTTTGGGTCTGGTTTTTTAAAATTTATTTTATTTTTCATAATGGCCATTTTGACTACAATAGAATCCAAAAAAATAGTCTGAATTTGCATTTCACTTATGACTAGTGATATCAGGTATCTTTCTGTTATGTTACTGGGCATTCACACTTTTTAAGAAGTGCCTATTCAGCTCATTTGTCTACTTTAATAGGATTATTTATTCTTTAGCATCTTATAAATATAAACTCATAGAAAGACACATCATATGCTATGGCAAAAGATTGCAAGAATGACAGTATCTTCCCCCAGTACCATCTGGGACAGCAGCTTGCCTGGGTCCCCTTCCCTTCAACACTCCCTTTTGCATTGATAAATGTAAGGACATATTTTACTAATCAAGAGGATTTCTACAGGGTTAAACATAGAGGAAGCTGTTTAGCAGGGAGTCACCAGCAAAGTCTGAGCAAAGGCAGCATCTCCGCCCCAGCCTTTCCACAGAATGTGTGTCCATCATGACTTCCAGCACTTGGAGGTATCTTCTCAGAGTTCTCAGATCTCCCTGATAGATGGAAAATCTCAACCTAAATTTTTACTGTGTTGAGTTATCCTCAAGAATAATATTTTCAATTTTAAAAAATCTATAAATATAATAGGAAGAATGATTGGCAAATGAGCACAACTAAAAACATAATTTCTCAGAATAAATCACTTGGAAACATTTTGTTACAAAATAGGTGCCATGGAAATTAAATGAGACAACAGGCTGGAAGGGCTGTTAAAAACTAAATGATGACACATATGTAAGCATTTAAAATGAAGTTAATATATTAAAAGGAAAAGGAATAACAAGGAATAAAACCTTGTAGAAGGAAAGACGCTTTTAAAAGTCACAGCTTGTTTACATTTACAATCAATCACAGTGGGTTTTGGTGTGACTGCATATACTCTCCATAGGCTTAATTTAGAATAAAGACAAAATGCAGAAACAAATGTCAAAGCTTCCCTCTCTACATGTTCTACTGAGCATAAAATAAGATTGTTCATCTAAAAGTCTAAAACAGAGATATTGGAACTAGTATTATATAAAGCCCAGTAAACACACACACACACACACACACACACACACACACACACACACACACACACACACGGCAGGGGTTTTCAACAAACAATGTCCTGACAACATCAGAACTTTAATATTTTCTATTTGATTCATTATTGTGATTGCTACTCATTGTATTAACTATAAAAACCATTAATAAGGGGCAAACTCAAAGTCTGAGGAACAAAAGCCAGCAGACATAAACACATGCGATGTGCTGCCACTCCTTTTAAAAAAAAAGCAACACAGTGTGTCACCACAGCAAGGGTGTAAGCAATGGTCCTGAATCCCCTCAATGAGTGACAGATGCATCTTATCTCACTAAACTGGAAACAGGAACTGGAAACACTATTTCCAGGCTCTGGATCCTATGAACACAGGAATTCAATGTTTAAATTTTATCCAGGAAAAATACATCTTTCTTACACAAGCTCCTGATTTGATTTTGTGTTACCGATGAGTTAGAGGATGCACCAGATACTTAGGTATTACTTCCATGCAGGTTAAGACTCTAGAGTGTATTGTAGTCATCTGCACACCTGTGCTCATGTTATCCATATGTGATCCTTCAAGTGACCCTGTCAGACCACTAAGGGACACTTCCTAGCTGTCCCACAACAGAAGCCCCAATCCTATCCTTGTAGCCTCCTGCATTTTCTGAGACACTTAATGAAGCTTTATTTATTTGAAGATTGAAGTCTGTGTACTGTGGAGTAAAGAATAGAATTCAGCTGGAAACCACAGGACCCCATAGAAGACAGAAGTGTGTGTGTGTGTGTGTGTGTGTGTGTGTGTGTGTGCGCGCGCGCGCGCGCGCGTGCGCGTGCACGCGCACGCTCAAGCCATGGTGTTGACATGTGTAAATGAGGAGCTTGGACCAGACACTGCCTACAGCTCTGTCCTCTCTAACATCAACCCCAGGATTACAAATGTTACTGCATGTAATGTTTATTACAACAGCCTTTCATTTCATTTTTCTTCTTAAATGCAACTCACTGACAACACGTTCTATATTCAGCCAGCAGTACACGGGGGCTCCTAAATGTAATATATTAAACTGACAACCTATTATTGTCTTAGCGTAACATCTCTCTGCCCTGCTACATAATTAGCTTTAATCTATGCTAATTGCCTGCTGTTAATAAGATTGAGTATGACGACCGAATTCTCTTTTTGGTGTCCGTGGCCTGTAATTAGACCTAACATGCAAGCAAATGACACCTAGTGATAGCTGTGAACCCAGTAGGTGCTCAGTGATTAGTTACTGCCTCGGCAATCAGAGAACTACCATCCGTCTTCCCATAATTTTCTCTGTGACCCTGGACAAATCGCTTAACCTCTCTGAGTCCTGATTCCCTCTTCTACTAAACAGATTCAGCTGGAATGGGTTTTCAAAATTGTTCCCATCAACTGGGCTAAAGTTTTCCAAGTTTCCTCCATCCCATCCATAAGGTTTTATGATTTTTAAGGTGTCATCAACATTTAAAAATGGAAATTATGAAAATATTCCTAAGACTTTATACAAAAAGCACATATATGTGCATATATATATATATATAAAGATAAAAAGTGAATGTAATTATCTTAGAGAAACCACTCAAAGAATTATTAAATTGAAGTTCATATCCCTTTTGCAAGCACAAGCCCTGTAAAGAACAATAAGCCTCATAAACTTTCTACTGTCCCCCAGAAAATACTCTTCTACAAAGAGGTAAATGCACTATTATGTATCAAATGAGGCATCTTGGTTTATGACACAGCTATCATTAATCAATTTTAACTTCAGAGACAAAAGCTTAACATTAATACTTTACAAACCAAACAGAATGAACCAGCTCCCGACCCAGCTGTGTCCCCCCCCTTCCTGTTTGGTCCCATCCATGACTTTACTTAAGACTGGGAGAAGGCCCCACTATGTACAGTGTTCAGCTGCCTGTGTTTTGCTATGTCTAAATACATAAATTAACATGTAAGTTTCTAGATACATATAAAAATAGTATAATATTTCAAGAATTTTGTTCAAGTTTCCCATAAAATGATTATGGTATTTACATTCATATTATGTTTAGTTAAGAATAAAAGAAAACAAAAAATATTTTCCTTACCCAGAAGTAGTTTTGACAGCTTTGGGGCTTGTATTAATAAGTTCATCAAAACTATGTTGATAGCTAAAAAAAAAATAAAAGAAAGGGTCAAAGTCAGTAAGAAGTGTGTGTGTGTGTGTGTGTGTGTGTGTGTGTGTGTGTGTGTGTGCGTGTAGGTGTGTGTGCATGCATGGGTGCACAAACAATTGGAACATAGAATAAACGTAACATGTTACAAACTGTCTATTTCAGATCATTAATTACTTTTGGATTTTGTTTTATTTTCAGACAGGGTCTCCTTACTCCCTTTGGAGAGCCGCAGGCTGGTCTTGAACTCTAACTTCTCCTACTTTAACCTTGAGCTCTGAGAGTACAGGGGTGGCTAGTATACCAACCCTTATAAAGAGTTTCATAAGGACTGAGATACTTCTTGGGGCCAAATCCCCAAGAAATGCTAAAGGCAAAGCGAATTTGAACCCTGAACAAGTGCATCGGGCCCTCTCACTCCTTCATCTGGCCATCGTTCAGCTGGCACAGCTGCAGGTGAACTCTGTGCTCCTTCCCTGAACAACCTTCCTCCCCATCATGTCCCCAGGAGGCAGTAGCTCCTTCCATCCATGTGTTCCATACCAACGTTACCCTCACAGCAGCTTTATGAGGGATAGCTTGGAGTTTCTCTACCATGCTCTTGTCAATGATTTCTCCAATATATAAATGGTCTCAATTTCTAAAGAACAGAAGTGCGTTCAATGCCATGCAAAAATATTCTAATTAACTATAAACCTGTTATATTGCTAGTTTTCTCACAAGTCATTTAAATATTAATCCTTGTGATTATGAGGGCAGCAAACTGATATTCTTCAGTTTATTCATTTTTATACAAATAACTTATTAACTAATAATTTGCAGTATTAGCCTACTAATGTGATTATTGTGTCACAAGAAATTTCTCAAGTAGTAATTATACAGAATTACATCAGTATTATTGTCTTAAACAATGTTATAGTGAAATAAATGGAAGGAATAATAAAAGAAAACCCTATCTAGTATTTTACAAATCAACAAATCATGTTCTCTTTCTTTTATTCCCTCTTTTGAAATGTCTTTAACCAAATAATCCTACTCCTTCTACATAAATTGGAGGATTCTTTTTGTGTGTTTGCTGAAGGGGTCACCTTGATCAGAGTGTCCAGATCTTGGTTCCTGAAAGTAATACATTGTGATATCTGATAAGGTCAACTAAGAACAATTTTATACTATACTTTTATACTATACTATACTATACTATACTATACTATACTATACTATACTAAATAAAACAATTTTATTTCATTCTTCTCAACCTTAACATCAAATCAAATTCATATTTAGTGATTTAAAACTCCAGCGTGACTTGAATCCTCTTCTTAAATAAACTTTATTATACACAATTTACAAATATACAAATCACACACCTAAATGAACCAGACACAAAGTCTACCCATAGCAAGGGTTTCTCTGTAGTTAGAATGGCCATTCAGAACCGAAGCTCTGGAGCTCTGCACTGGATTTTACACTTTCACTGTAAAGCATTTATTTGCTGTCTGTATTCAGTGTCTAACAACAGGTTTTATTCTTATTTGGGTTATAAGAATCTCAGGACAACTTAGCACTGAAGATTCAAATACAACATCATCAGCTTAGCCTACCATGATAAAATCATTTATGGAAGGCAGGGCAGTTGGCTGTGTTGGAGAAGTTGTTTCAACTACACTATGAACTGAATCACCTCTCCCTTCCAAATACAAACTACTGATCATCTGAGTAAGCCCCCTCTCACCAGGATAAATTCCTGCTACATACTGGTTTTATAATAAAGATCTACTAGAACACAAACACTCTCATTTATTTACAAGGTGTTTTCTACTTACTTTCATGGCAGTGGCAGGGTTATGTAGTTAAATGAGAAATTATTTTGGCCTCCCAAATCTGATTTATTTGCTATTTAGATCTTTGAGAAAAGCTGCTGGGGACTTCTGGTATAATCTAGATAAGCTTTGTTTTTTGTTACAGTTGTTACACACTGTAAAACAGAGAACATCCCTAGTCTCAGAGACAGGAAACAGTTGGTAAGAAGGCCTATCTCTATATACCATTCATATCTAACTCAACTCAAGCTGACACAGCAATGCATATTTATGGTTTGATTATGTTTCTTTGTTTGCTTGACCTGGTACATCATAGGGAAAGTTCTTTCTATATGAAATACAAGTATCATTTTTATGTTTCAATGACTCGAATGTGATTTTTAATGACCCCCTAGGCCAGAGACCTAGCTCAGTGGGTAGCACTTGGTACACAAGCATAAAGACTGTAATTTGGATTCCTGGAACCATGTAAGATGTTAGGCAGGTAAGAAGGGTGGTGAGAGAACAGACAGAGATCCCCAGGGCATGCTGGCTAGCTAGAAAAGCTGAATCCTAGCTGGACTAGCCTAATCTGTGAGCTGCGGTTTCAAGTGAGAGATTTTGCCCCAGTAATAGAAGGTGAAAGCAGCTGGGGAAGGCACACTATGTCCACCTTTGACCTCTACATACACACAATCTATGAATCAGCCCCCATACATAGATCCACATACACAAGAGGACAAATACACACACACACACACACACACACACACACACACACACACACACACAAATGGCTTTCTAACTTTAGAGTTAGTTGGGTTTTACACAAAAAGAAGGAAGGAAATAAATGGATGAAGAGAAGAGAAACTTTTGCCGTCTGCAGATTTCTATTTCAGCTGCTTTGTTTTAAGAAATCCTCTTAGGACGCTGCCTTATCCCACGAGAATTCCAATCCACCTTAAGCACCAAGCATGGAACACAAACGCTACAACAGAATGAGTCCACCTCTGTGTTTCAAGGACTTCCTGTCTCCCACCACAGTCCATAGCTGGGGAAGCCTGGGTAGGGGTTTCAGCACCAGCCTATGGGTTGGTGACACCCCTGTTCTGTTTCTGCATCCCCTCTAAGGGACGTCTCTAGGACAGTATAAAGGATTTCTCTGATTTTTAAGAGTGGAATGGAAAAAAGGAGAGAGAAAAGTTTCATAAACCTTACCCGTGGTTAGCTCTGTTGGTTGTGGGCACAGCTTTAATGAAATTGTCAAGACCCTGACCCCTAAAAAATATAGAAGAAAAAACTTTATTAATTAAATTACATAAAAATGGTTGAAATTATTTGTTAAAACTGATAAATGCTTTATGAAAAAATATTTACTAAAACCCTGACACCAGCCGTTTTGTTGAAACAGTAATGGAATCGGTTCTGAAAGTATCCAGTGAACAGAGAGCTCCAGCTAAAGAAGAAGCCAAAGCCCAAACAAACTGACGAGTCCTGACTGGTCTGAGATGACACCTAGACTCACGTCTGTGGGCGCTAGTCTACCATGCTCACCCTTATTCTGTGCCATTCTCTGCTAAAAGAGGCCAACCAATAACATGTTTTCTGTATTTAATGATAAGCAACTTGAACTAAAAGATCAAAGCTACCTTCACTGTACTGGAAATTATCTGACAAAAGTCTCTAATGTCTCAGATATAAGGTGGTCAGGGTCGGCACTTCAATCGGGATTAGCCAACTTAACTGATGATTTCATACACTTATAAACACTGATCAGCATAAAACCAAAAGGAGGAGCGTATTAAATCTTACTCTTGAAAACTTTTTCCTATTATTGGATTCACCATGATGAAATTATTAAGACCTTTGTAACTTTACACAGACAAACCAAAAACCCACTCAATAAAAATGGAAATAAATCAACTGGCCATTTTGCTTTGAATCCTATGAATCCATATGTCCTCAAAATTAATTTTACTATTAAGTTTTGATATAAATCAATACTGGTCTAAGTCTTCAGCTTACAGGAGTAAAGTTTCAACCTTTAAACAAATCGGTGATATACTGGCTTTGTTTCCCACCTATTCTCAAAACTCTAACATTAGGGCATGGTTGAGATTATTTTTCATTGGCTTATTTTGGAACAAAGCAATGGTTTACCCAGAAATAGCCATGCTAACCCTGTAGCCACAACTAAATTGTGTTCTGATAATAATTTTCATTTTCAGCACTTTTGTTTTAAAGGGACCTTATAACCATCATGCCACTGGATCCTTCTTGCTTTCTGCTGCCAATGGGAGAATAAGCCTGTGATCCTCATGCTATACTGGCCAGCCGCTGCTCAGTGTCCATGGGACTTGCTCAGAACCCCATCTAGTAAGCAAAGAGCTTTGGACTTTCTGGGTCCTTTTGTAAGTGCTACATATTGATGCAGGAAGAAGAGAGATAAGACATAATTCTCTCACCCCTGGTTACTCCTGTTTACTTCCGGGGTGACTTTGATCAGATTATCAAGGCTCTGGCCCCTTTAAAACATTGAACAAAAGAGTGGTTAATAGTAGATTTTCAACTAGTAGAATTAAAGAAACTATTAAGCCTCAGAAATAATATAAGCACTCATTGAGATCATGCCAAAGAGTTAAAGGTGATAGTGCAGCGATGGAGGGAGATTTTATGTATGTATGCATATACATATATATATATATATGTATACACACACACACACACACACACATATATATATATATATATATATATATGAATGAATGACTTGGTGAGATAATATTTTAATCTTCAGACATTAGGCTATTAGCAAAATTTCACTAGAGCTCTGCATCTAATGGTACCCTGTTAACCACTTCCAAGTATACAAAACATTTTTTAATTAGACCATATACTTCTCTCACAGAATATTCCAGAAAGCATTCTCTCTTGGTAGCAACCTCCAACACATATAAAACAAACTTTTTAAAATCTACATTTTGTTGATATTTTTGGTACATTTTCTATTACAAAACTGCATTAAGATAAGTATACAATGTGGTGGTATTGTGTTCCCCAAAATATTGTGCACCCTAATAAACTTATCTGGGGTCAGAGACAGAACAGCCACTAGATACAAAGGCTAGAAAATGGTGGCACTCACACCTTTAATCCTAGCATTTCAGAGGTAGAAATCCCTCTGGATCTCTGTGAGTTCAAGGCATTGGAAACAACCAGGCATGGTAACACACGCCTTTAATCCCAGAAAGCGAACCTTTAATCCCAGGGAGTGATGGAAGAAAGGAAAGACATATAAGGCGTGAAGACCAGAAACAAGAAGCATTTGGCTGGTTAAGCATTTGGCTGGTTAAGCTTTTAGGTTTTGAGCAGCACAGTTCAGCTGAGAACCATTCGGATGTGAGGACACAGAGGCTTCCAGTTTGAGGAAACAAGATCAGCTGAGAAATTGGCCAGGTGAGGTTAGCTGTGGCTTGTTCTGTCTTTCTGACCATCCAGCATTTCACCCCAATAACTGGCCCTGGGTTTGATTTTATTAATAAGAACTTTTAAGATTCATGCTACAATACTACTTTGTTTAAAATGCACTACATACAATTTGGTATCTACTTCTGGTACTCATAACTCATTAGAATGGCACATTGTAATTGATTGTTTTAGGAATAAACAATAAGAAAACTAAAGTCTATAGACTCCTGAAATGTACCAAAATGTAAGCCATATTGGCTGAACTATGACCTCCACAGTTGCTGAAGAACACTTGAGCACTTCACTGTTGGCCTGAACTACTCGCCTGCTTCTGATCTTCCTGCAATGATGCTTCTCTTATTGCATATGCATGTGCTTTTCACATACATCTCACCAGCAAACACTGCTCTGAACTACAGAGGAGGCCACATGGGGAGAAGAGCCTCCTCAGAAGTGAGCTTTACCACTCTCTCTCCACACTTGATGACCCCACGAAGATGTCTCTGAGGTTTCATTTACACAACATCAAAGATACAGTATTTAGAAGCAACCAGATGTTGACCCAAGGTTTTTTGGTTTTTTTTTTTTTTTGCTTGATCCAGATGTCCCAAGATGTGATACTCAGACTAAAGACAACAGAGAAAATATGTGGACTTTCATTATGACAATAATGAAACAATTAACCCCACAGAAACAACTGCTGTATTCCAGATTAGCCTTTGTTGTTTTTCACCGAAATGAAGCCTATGGGATTTGAATCACATGGTCCTAGGGAAAAAAAATCCCAGGTTGCAATTAGAAGATTGTAGTGTTCAAATCAGTAACAGATCAGCAATCACCACAAGCCCTTTCTTTGAGAGTGCTGGTTGAGGAGTTTGCTTCCATTATATTATGTAGACTTCATTCTCTTTAAACATTAAATGAGCCCTATATAAATGTATAGGGTTATTTAAATTCTTATTACATGAAGTCAATAAAAAATAATTAATGTGGTACTCTAATTATTATAATGGTATACTATTTGAAGTTTAAGTATGTGAATCATTGCCTCATAGTGTATATATTATCAGTATTTATATGTGCTTGCAGTCTATAAATAGCACAGACCAATTGTCTAGGCTCTGCCAAGTGGTGGGATAGATGTGATCAAAACAGACATAGAATTAGTCTACATGAGGTTTCCATTCCAAACTGGGGAAAAGCAGAACATAGACAAACATCGAAGTGAATGGCACAATTTTCAGCTAAAAATCCATGCTGTACTTTAAAAAATATTTGGTGTTTGTAGTACTGAGGACAAGTGGGGGGGTGTGATTTAATCACATTCAGTAGTCACAAATGACCTGTTTGAAAGGAGGACAATATGGTGACAGTATTCCAGAAAATGGGAACAGCACATGTAAACGTTTTAAGGCAAGAATGAACCTGAAATACAAAAGATTTATTTGATTGGACTTTATTGAGAAAGTAAAAGGTTGTCTCTAAGCATTAGAATTTTATTCCACCTGAGATGGAAAGCTTTTTAATAAAGAAGGAAGCTTGCTTTCTCTCTCTCTCTCTGTGTGTGTGTGTGTGTGTGTGTGTGTGTGTGTGTGTGTGTGTGTATGTGTGTGTGTGTGTGTATGTGTGTGTGTATGTGTGTGTGTGTATGTGTGTGTGTGTGTGTGTGTGTGTGTGTGTATGTGTGTGTGTGTGTATGTGTGTGTGTATGTGTGTGTGTGTATGTGTGTGTGTGTGTGTGTGTGTGTGTATGTGTGTGTGTGTGTGTATGTGTGTGTGTATGTGTGTGTGTGTGTGTGTGTGTGTGTGTGTGTGTGTGTGTGTGTGTGTGTGTGTATGCCAGAAGTTGATATCTTGTGTTTTCCTGGATCACTCTCCATGTTATTTTTTTTTTTTGAAAAAAGGGCTTCTTACTGAATGTAGAGCTCACTAATTTGGTAAGGCTAACTGGGCAGCTATGTCCAGGGGTCCTCCTATCTCTGCCTTCCAAGGACTGGAATTACAGGACCATGCTGCAAAGTCTGACCTTTCCAAGGATGCTGAAAATTGAACTCAGATTCTCATGCTTGTTCCTGACAGAGCTTCCAATTATATATTTAAAATATCTACAGAGTCTCATTATGTAAAAAATAAATTAAAAGTAGTATCCTTAAAAGATCATAGAGAGCACACACATACAAATATGGACATATATTTCACATGTGTCTACACACATACATACATACATGTGCACATACAGTCATGTATACATACAAACATGAACACGCAACCACTATTTTTATATATGCCATAATTCACTTGTACAAAATACATACGTGCACACATTCAGGCACATATCCACCTGCATATATACACAGGCACATATCTCCACGAATAAGCATACACATGTGCTTATATAAGAATGCACACATGCGAGCAAGCATTCAAAACATACATAAGTGCATACCTAGTCATACCCATTTCAATATACAAGAAATAATAGGCCACAGTTTGAAGTGTTCTAATAAATATTAAATAGATTAAATAGGAAAATAATTTAAGATATCAAGATGAACTAAATATATAGACTGTCTAGACCATTGTGAAAATGTAATTAATCAGAATGTTTTTCTAACAGTGACTTCTGATTCACTTTTTGTATCTAGCATGTGCTAAGCACAAGAGAACGGTGATTCCTCTTCAGTAGATGAGTGTACTGGGTAGTTTTGTGTCAGCTTGACACATGCTAGAGTCATTTTGGAAGAGAGAACCCCAATTGAGAAAATGCCTCTACCAGATTTGCCTTTGATCAAAACTTTGCTGCATTTTCTTGATTGATATTTGATGTGGGTGTACCTACCGCTTAGGCAAGTGATGCCACCCCTAGGTGGGATGGTCCTGGATGGTATAAGAAAGCACACTGAGAAAGCCACAAGAGCAAGCCAGTAAGCAGCACTTCTTCACGGCCTCTGCACCAGTTCCTGTCTCAAGATTCCTGCCCTGTTTGCTCCTGACCTGGTTTCCCTTAGAGATGGGCTGTGATATAAAACTGTAAGGTAAAATAAACCATTTCCTCCCCAAGTTGCTTTGGCCATAGTCTTTATCAGAGCAATGGAAAATTAACTTAAGACATTGAGTAAACAGAGTCAGTGACATGGTTAGTCAGAAGCTGAACTTGAACCAGGGCTTTCAGATTCCCTGTTCACATTAACACTTCAGTTATCTTCCTGAACCACTTAAGGAGTCAAGAGACCAATGTGTTTTCTCAGCGAGGATGCAAGATTTAGTTGTTTTGCCGAATTTCCTGGGTGATTGTGCCTCTGACTGTGCCACACAGCCGAAAGCAGGGCCGCTTGGCAGTATGTGCAACCGTTTTAAGCTAGCTGAGCCTTTGCTCTGCCAGCATAGCCTCTGGGGCATTGGTGACACATGTCAGAGTCAACAAATAATATCAGATACTGAGTTAACTAAGTGGAAATGAGTTCATGGAATTATTTAATACACTATTTTCAGCTACATGGCAGCAAGTTCAGTTTCAAAATACAGTTTATATGCACATGCACACTGTCCTATACACACACACACACACACACACACACACACACACACACACAAGCATTTATATATACTCTACTCTTACATAAACATGTGCTCTTATGTATACCTCTACAAATATACTCACTCACACACTTTCATAGATATAATTCTCACGTGTACACTTCATACATTATTTATACATACACGTATACACTAATACACAGTTAAATAACATAGCTGAGAAGCTTATTCAAAACTGTCTTGTAATTTCTTAAAATTACCAGATAACAAATGTCACCAAAGAACAAAATGCAAATGTCTCTGTGCATCACTCCTATCAAACTGCTTAATAAAATGTGTTTGAGAAAATAAATGAGCTGTTTGGTCTTGAAGTTCAATTCAGCATTCCAAACATGAACACTAGCGTTCTAATGCTTAACTGCCTGGCAAAGGGAAACTCTAGACATGTTACCTCTTCATATTTTTATTTGCTTCAGAATTCACTTTAATCAATCCATCGATGTCTTGTTTTCTTTGGAAAAGGAAATAAGTTCTAATTAATGTCATTAAAATAAAACACTAATCAAATGAATAATAGCTCAGATATTAAGAAGTGATAAATGTAAAAGTTCTCTACAGCGGTGTGAACATTTAAAGTTCTAAATGAAAAGGACAGATGTCTTATGTCTAAGCTGGAGGCCATTTCAGGTCATTAATTTTCTAACAACACACACATGTAAGTACTGTCTGTTCTGTTCTCAGAATACAAGTACATGTGAAACTTCTTCCTGAACAAAGTCAACCTGGCCTTCAGATCCATCTATAGTTAGATCACTTCTTTTTTTTTTTTTTTTTTTGGTTTTTTGAGACAGGGTTTCTCTGTGTAGCTTTGCGCCTCTCCTGGAACTCACTTGGTAGCCCAGGCTGGCCTCGAACTCACAGAGATCCGCCTGGCTCTGCCTCCCGAGTGCTGGGATTAAAGGCGTGCGCCACCACCGCCCGGCTAGTTAGATCACTTCTAATGGGCCACAGTGAAGCAAGGTAAATTAGATTAAGTTATTCAATGGCACCAGACTGAATACAAACTACTATTCAACAAATCGATACAATCTCTTTTTTGTTTGTTTCTTTAATAATAAGAAAATAATGACAACAACGTAATGATTTAACAAAATTGAAATACTAAGAAAGCATGCCCTCATATAAACCTATCAATCATGCTCATGTCGAAACCTTTTAAATATCTTTTGCCTCAGAGTCAATTACTATTATTATTATTATTATTATTATTATTATTATTATTATTAGGTTTTGTTTTGAGACAGGGTGTCTCTGTGTAGTTTTGGTGCCTGTCTTGGATCTCATTCTGTAGACCAGGCAGGCCTCGAACTCACAGAGATTCGCCTGACTCTGCCTTCCGAGTGCTGGGATCAAAGGCATGCACCACCACCACCCAGCTTCAGAGTCAATTATTAAGAGTAACAAAGAGCAAGATTTAGAAAAAAACAAAACTCATTACATAATAGGAAACATAATGACTCTCTTCTTACTGCATCTACGTGCTGCCCCATTAAAAATCAAGAGGAGCATAAGCTATGCTTCAAGTAGACAGTGGGGGATAGTTTAAGTAGGGATTGGGTACTGAAGGCATCATAGCTCTGAACAGGTGATGCAGCTGTGAATCCTTACTCCCATTTAGGTACTGGCCCAGCCTCATCCTGGGCTGTAGCTGAAACCACCATCCTTAGAGGAAGTGACTTGTGGGAGTCTTAGTCAAACCTGGCTTGGATGTCTGTGTCAATCTGGAAATGTACTTTGGAATTATGTGAAGGCTGCATTCTTTAAATAAAGAATTCTACTCTCTCATCAATACTTAAAAAGAAATAATGCCCCAAATCAAAGAGAAAAGTAACTCAGTATTAAATATTGAGACAATCATTTTAAAATAAATATATTTATGGAAGACAAGAATGAATGGCCACATCTTTCATCTTTATTGGCTAATTCCATACTTTAAATTATGGTTATGAATCTAAAAAGTCATTTGTCTTCTGATTATTATGTAGAAATCAGAGTCAGAGACATTAGTGAGACTTACCCAGAGGTATTTTCATGTCCTTTGGAGTTGATCTTCATAACATTATCAAGATCTCTACCTCTTATGAAAAGAATGTTTGGATTAGTTTCATGACATTTCCATAGAATTAGATATATATCACCATTCTATGTTTTTTGTGATTAACTCAACCTTTGGTGAAAATTATTATGTAGATACCAAATATATTTTAGTATAAAATTGACCACATTATATAGTTAAATGAATCTCCAAGATTTTGTCGTGCTATATATAAATGTAATAACAATACACTCTTCAAAGTGAAGAACAGTGCTGCAGAACTAAGACACAAAAGAAAGAAGCTGTGATTCCCTCCACACCACTGAAAGGTTACCAGTTAAGCCAAGAGAAGCCTGAGACTCAGACAGCCAAGCAGTTCTCACCTTCTGCTCACTTTATCTGCTATGGCATTCATTTTGGTAACTGGACTGAGGTCTTGGCTTCATTGGGTGGGGGGAAAAGTCATCAAAGCCTGTGTCAGCACCAAGGAAACAGTGTCTGCCACACGGGAACGCTGACATGTATATGACCTCACATAGACTGTGGCCAAGTACACAGGGACTTGCACAGGGTCAAGCTAGATGGGGCCCCAGCACTCAGAGAGGAGTGGACAACTCTCTCCCATCTCTATCCAAGAAGTTATCCCTAATAGACAACTGATTGCAAAGGAAAAGTTTTCTCCAATGGAGGGTCACTGAGTAAATAAACCTCGCTTAAGTAGGTGCTGTGCCTAGCAGCAGATGACCAACAGAAAAGGAACTCAAAAGTGTTTTAGAATTTGCTTATCATATATTGGGCATTTTCTTTTATCTTACTGGTCTTTTGTATATTATGGTTTTCAATTTTGTGTTTTTATAGGGGTGTGTGTGTGTGTGTGTGTGTGTGTGTGTGTGTGTGTGTGTGTGTGTGGTTTCCTGTGCTTTTTTGTTGTTGTTGTTTTCTGGTTCATTTTTTTTTTTGACTATTTTGTTTTTCTAAAGAAATAAGGTGTTGAATTGGGTATGGAGGTGGGGAGAAACTGGCAAAAATGGAGGAGACGAAACAGTGATCAGAATATATCGTATGAATGTGCAATTGAAAAACTTATGCCAGATTCCATGCAATATTCTCTGAAAACCGTTGTGCTGGCTAGCTTTATATCAGCTTGGCACAAGCTAAAGTCACCTGAGAGGAGTGAACCTCCATGAGAAAATGATGCCTCCATTAGATGGGGTTGAACACAAGCCTGTAGAGCATTTTCTTAATTAGCGATAGATGGGGGAGAGCCCAGTCCACTGTGGGTGGTGCCATCCCTGAGCTTGTGGTCCTGGGTTCTATAAGAAAGCAGGCCGAGCAAGCCAGTAAGCAACATCCCTCCACGGCCTCTGCATCACCTTCTGCTTCAAAGTTCCTGACCTGCTTGAGTTCCTGTCCTGACTTCCTTTGATGGTGAAGAGTGCTGTGGATGTGTAAGCTAAATAAACCCTTTCCTCCCCACGTTGCTTTGGCCATGGTGTTTCATCTCATCAATAATAACCCTAACTGTGTAAATGAGAATGTGCCTGATTGTGGTGTCAGATGTTTCGAGAAACAACTGACCGGAAAGACCTTTGCTTTAATTATCCTTGGCTTAACTTGGTGTGTTTGTATATGTGGTATGTGTATTTGTATTCATGTGTATGACATGTGTGCATGTGGGTATATGTGTACAAGTGTACAGTTGTGTGCATGTGAACCCCAGAGGTAAACATCCAGTTTCTTACTCCATTGCTTTCTACCTTGCATCTCTCTCTGGAGCTGGAGGTCACAGATTCAGTTAGATTGGTTGCTCAGCAAGTTCCAGGCATCCCGCTACCTCCTGCTCCCTAAGTGCTAGGGTTTCTGATGTTCCTCATTTACTAGGCCTTCACATGAGTGCTGGGGATCTGAATTTATGTCCACGTGCTTGCACAGCAGCTATTTTACTGACTGCGCCATCTATCTCCCTACCCCATTTTCTAGCTTCTTATCTTTATTAATTTCCACAGTGGTACTTGATTTAAACCAGTCTACGTCATGTCTCTCATTTTGCAGTTTTTCCTTTACATTTCTTGATTCACATTAAAAATGTATATGTGTTTTTACTATTCAGGAAAATGTAGAATGAGAGATTTGGTAGAGAATTTGCATGGCCACTCTTTAAAAATGGCATGGCTTGTATTCCTTTGACCTACTATTTCTGATGAACCTAAAGAGTTCATCAGAACCTAAAGAACATAAGTACAACACTCCCAGTTTGACAAGGAGTAAAAGGCTAACCAAAAGAAAGACTCCCACCAATGAAGGCGCTTTACTTACCCTTTCTCTTTGTCCGTCCTTTGATTGATTTTCTTAAGACTTCCAAAGGCTTGATTTCTTGAGGAAAGAAAGTGTGTGAGAGAGAAACTCAGTGGCATGTTCAGAATCTCTTAGGACTGCTGCAGATTTCTCACAGCAGGAATAAGATGCAATCAGAGCCTAGAGCTGGAAATTCTCAGAAATACCTAATTAAAGTGGCATAAAATGTTCGAGAGACACCTCAACCTCAAGATATCAACCATGACTCAATTACAACTGAGTCAATTTGAAAGCAAACTTTACCACTAGGCCTCAGCCTTTTCTTTTGGGGGTTAGATTAGAAGGAGGCTAAGTTTAACATATGCATGGAGTTTTGTCCTGTTTAAGCACAAAAATTCATTCATGCTAGGTAGAAATCAATTAATTGATCAACACTTTAAATGGACATATTTTGAAGACTTTGAGAAATTATTTCCCATAAAACTTTCCAGAGTGTCCTCAAAAGGTCTAACATCACCTTGAAGAGTAGAAATAACTGCACTGACTTTAATACCTTATGCAAACTGATCACATAGAATGAAACTTTAATATACTAAAATCTGAGAATTATTAGAGGCTACTGGTTGTCCATACCTGTAATCCAGGCACCCGAAAGCCTGAGACAGAAGTATTGTGTGTTTGAGATTAACTGGGGCTACACGACAAGACCTTCTTTTAGAGAAATAAAGAAGTGAAAGCTAATCCCCTAACACTGCACAACTGACCAAGTGCTGCATGTTGACATTTTCATCTCTAATGAATTTCATTGTGATAAAATTATGGATGTATTAAGTTCTTTCATTGTACGATGGAGAAGGGAATAAGGACAAGAAATGAGGACTTTCTCCTTCCTATACCTGCAAGGTCACTTACTCCTTACCAAGCTGTCTCATATTACACGTCCCTGTCCCTCCCCCTTGAGCCCATACCATGACTGACAAGGCTCACCCTGCTCTTCCTGTTTTCTGCCATTCTTTTGACTCTTTCTAAGCTTCTTGTTTTAGAATATCTGAAATGTCATTTTCTCCTCTAAAACACAAACTGACAGTGCAAAACTACTGCCTGCTCTCCACCTGCGCTCTCCATTTGGAGGATGTCACCTACCATGCGTCAACATGCCTGTGTGACTGTTCTGAAGAGCCTTTCCCACCATAGAGACTTTGCTATGTGTTCTGGATCAGAAAGCCGATTGTGTATCTGATAGGTTGACTTGGAAAACTAGGGTATCATTCCATGCACACACTGGCACAGATAAATGGTTTTGAAAAATAAATGTGACAACAGAAATAACTGTCATCTTAGAAAGGCAAGTTTAATGTCTAACCAAATGCAGAGTTAGTGGCCAGTCTTGGGAGAGTGGAGGAAGTCTCATAAACCCTTAACCTTCGTCATTCTTGACTGCTCAGAAATTTGATTTCTTTCAATGTGAAAAATATTCTCAGTAATGAAAAGCCAATTTTCTAGTTTGTCATTATGAGTCTAAAATTATAAATTCATCCCCCAAAAACAACTAGCTTAGTTTTTAATCACCAATTAACCCACTACAGAATTTTTCAGTGTCTTTCAACATTAAGATATTTACAAATACTTATGAAAAGATAAATATATGAGGTGTGACCAAGATCCCATCTAAGAAGTGCCTTCTACATTCTAAGGACTTCAGAGTCGAATGGATCCATTCCCAGAACCAAAACACCTTGTGGTCAATATACTTAGCTATAAGCTTCCTACAGTAACTGGCTGGGCTTCTTTCATTTTTAATATGAAAGGGAATGTAGAGATCATCTGGGTCACACTTTTCTCCTTATGAGATGAGGAAACAAGTCCCCAGAAACTAAGGCACTTGACTAGGTCACTGAGATCCATGATGGCGGTGAAACCACTATTGAGGCACCCGGCCTTTTCTGACCCTTACCCAGAGTCTGTGCCACCAGACCGCCTGATCCTGGCCAGAGAAGGCGGCCTCCTGCTGACAACAGAAGGCAGTCAAAGGGTTACCCAAAGTGGCCTGACTTGATGGCTCTTACCCTTTGCCATCTCTGTCCATCTGGGTGTTCATATAGATGAGACTTTCAAGACTCTGGGCTCTGGAAACAAAAACGAATTGCAATAAAAACCACATGTTGAAGTGAAATGGTGGGGTATCTTGAAAGGTCAGATATAATAAACATTTCCTATGAATTGCTCATTTACTCTCATTGAATGGAAGAGCAGAGATCCTTCCGGGCAATTATGTCTGAACTAAATGTACAATGCTGAGAGAGCTAGCCCATCTGTTAGTATGTTTGTCTGCCAGAGGATACAGCTCCCTTCCCTCCACCTCCACAGTCTGAAGGAACAAGGTAAGCAGTCTGAGACACAGGACATCTAGGGCGGACAGACACACTTACCTTTTGTCTATCTGCTGTCCCTTCAGGTTTGCTCGGAAGAGGCCATCAAGACCTTGATTTCTTTAAATACATTGATTAAAAATCTCATCAGTAATAATGATATCAAAAGCTTATACCAGTTTACATGTAAAATAGAAGCTGGCTGGGAAAGATGAGCTTTGGTTTGGGAAACTGCTTTATTCCACACAGGTGTTTTCACAAACCCCAAATTTAAATTACAGAAAGACTGACAGGAAGTGCAACCAAAGAGATAAACTAGGGATATGCAGGCCATGACAGGTCTGTAGAAATGCTGTTCAGGGCCATGAAATGTTTCCTTTTTATTTATCTTTTATTCTTTTCTAAAAAATTGTATGTATATGGGTATTCTGCCTGACAGCATGTCTGGGCACCGTGCACAACCCTTGATTCTTGTAGAGGTCAGAAGAGGGCATCAGATCACCCAGAACCAGAGTCCCAGATGGCTGTGAGCCACTATGTGGGTGCTGGGGACTGAACCCAGGTCCTTTGAAAGAACCTCAAATACTCTTAACTGCTGAGCCTTTCTCCAGCTCCTGTTTTCTTTCTTTTTATTTTTGAAATTAAAATATAATGACATCATTTTCCCTTTCCTCTCTGCCATCCTTCCAATGCACACCCCTTTCAGATTCATGGCCTCTGTCACTTTTCCATTAATTGCATATACATGTATATTCATTCTAACATAAGCCAGTATTTATAGAGCTATCCATGATATAAAACTGATGTTTCAGGATATTCTGAAAACGTCCTGCAACACTGGCTCCAGATTCCCATGTGGTTTCCTCAATCGGTGCTGAGATGCTGTTGACAAGACATTTTATCTTCCTCTGGCTCTGGTTCCTCCACTGCCTATGCCTTATGGGTCAGCCACATCCACTCATTCACACCTGCTTCCACAGCTCCTGATCTAAAACCTCCTGTCTGTAAAGACAGGGAAGTGAAGAGCAGCACATCTAGGTGACTTTTTGGCACCCATCCCACAGATCACTATTTTCAAACGAGCATATGAAAACCATATTTCATAGCGTTAGGTCAATGAAACAAGTGGATGTTTCTATATTTCTTTCTTCCCTTTGGTATCTGCTGACCCTTTCTATCTCTGTCCTCCATTTGTCTCTCCTAGAATATTTTGTTTCACAACTCCAAGTGATTCAAGACTGGGAGGTAATAATAACAGAAATATTAGTGGTTCAACTCAAAATATTCATCAATCAAATGAGACCGTGTATATATAAATGTATTAAAATACCAAGAACTGTGGTATATGCATAAACATAAAACTACCTTAAATTTTATGGAATATGAAAATCAAAGATACTTAAATATTAGTACTTTAATAACTGTTTATTTCTCCAAGCTTTTCATCCAAAATTTGTGAGGTATTATTGACTATTCAGATATGTTGATCCTCCTATTCTAAAACTGAGCATTGTTTTTGATTCTGAAAAGATGATACAAGAAGTCACAATGTTCAATTCAACAATAACATGAAAAACACACTTTTTTAAACCTCACCTGTTCAAGCTTTTGTTCATTCTGATGAGATTGTCCAGTTCTTCACTTTGGGAAGAGAAAACAAAATCTAATATTAGTTAAATTCAAAATACACAAAAAAAAACCTTCCCAGAGTCAAAGAGCAGATTCACCTTAAAATAACCCCGAGTACTCAGAAATAGAATGTGAGCCCCCATGTTAATTATCTGTGAAACTATTTATCCTTCAAGGTGTTCCTCAAATGCCATGCTGCCAAAGAAGCCTTTCTGGCCCATTAGCTGAAGTCTCCCCTGTGTTTGGAAGTCTTGCAGCATGTAGGGTTTTGTATCTGCTTTGTCAACTTCGCTGTGGTATGCATTATAGCAACAGCAATTGTGCTTCTGTTGTGTGTTAATGTCCCTTCCAGTATACACTACTTCAAATTCAGGACTGTATTTTACAATGCATCCGGTCAGTCTTTTTTTTTTTTGGTTTTTCGAGACAGGGTTTCTCTGTGTAGCTTTGCGCCTTTCCTGGAACTCGCTTTGGAGACCAGGCTGGCCTCAAACTCACAGAGATCCGCCTGGCTCTGCCTCCAGAGTGCTGGGATTAAAGGCATGCGCCACCACCGCCCGGCTCCGGTCAGTCTTTAATACATTACCTTTAGGTAGATGTTTAATACTCAATTTTAACTGAATCAGCAAGTACAGGAACACTGGCTAATTATAGATTCTATTCTAACACGATGTAGCTGCTCAGAAAGTAAGGACTCAAAGACACGGGTTCATTTCTTAAACTCCACTACAAGTTCATTCTAGGTCAACTAAACTTGCAAGCTTGTTTCCAGTTTTGAGACCTGCAAAGCCCCTTCTGACAGCCTTTGGGGCGTGGGCTATTTAAGTTAAGCTTCTGGGCTGGAGAATTTCCCTTAAACCGAGCGCTCAGCTCTCTTGCCCAAGCAGGGAGCTGGGCTAGGGTGCTCCCCAAGAGTGTTCTCTACTACTTCTTCCTGTGTGCTCCTCACACTATGCCTTCTCCACGGATTTTCCTTCCTTCTTCCTTCTGCTCTCATCCCCATTCCTCTTGCCTTCCTTATTTAGTATTTCCATTCACACATCTTGGTTCTCTCTCTCTTTGCTGCTCTAGAGTCACATGTCTCCAGCTTCCTCAACATTCTTCTTGCTTCTTGAGTCATCTCTAGTGTTGATCAGGAGACCAGTATTTAGACCTTCAAGCTTCTACGCTAAAGACATCTACACTACCATCTAAAGGACACCATGATTCATTGTTGACCCTGACAAATTGCTTCAGCTCATGTTGATACAATTTCCCCACGGGTAAAATAACAATACTAATCATGTTCATCTTTAAAAAGAATCAAATAAGTTAGCATACAGTTCTGAGCATAATGCCTAGAAAGCCATAAATTCTCACCTAATCTTAGCCATTATAATAAATAGGACCTTGTCAGTATTTTTCACAAAATTCATGCTTGCTATATTTACCTTTCAATTGAATTTGTAGACAGCAAGATACTGTCTCAGCTTCACAAACAGAGTGGATGCCTCTGTTCTGTGTGGTGCAAACACTAAGTAAACCACTATTGCCAGGAGAACTGTCCAGGACAGTCCTCTTAGAGACCTTCTTCCCTGTGTTCAATTCATCACCAATATGTTGATAATCCATTTAAAAAAGCTTTGTACATTTAACGATAAGACTGAAAGTTGAGAAGAAATACTGAAATGTTTTAAAAACAGGTACTACCCCAACAGAAAAGGGAAAGGAGTAATATTCTACCCTCATGGGAAACAAACTGCCTAGTGTCCAAACATGGTGTTCTGTTATTGTTTCTTGCTTGAAATCCTACCTGATAAACAGAGGCTAGCTGAAAATTTGTTTCTATCCCATGGGAAGGAGCAACTGCAAGAATCCTGTAAATTTTAGCCCCAGACCTTTGTGACTGGCATAGCCACAATGATGAGATTTTTCAGGATTCAAGGACTCTGGTGTTTACCACAGGAAAATTAGCATAAATCATGAGAAGACACTCTGTGGTAAATTAAATACCATGGAGACAGCATTCTGAATGAAGAACCCGAGCTTTCAAAATGACTGTAAATTGATAAAAAGCCTTCGATATTAAGTTTCACCATTGTCTTTGCAACAAATTAAATGCCCTTCATCAGATAGCACTAACTCTCTGTCCCACAAAGAGCAGCTGGGATAATGGAGCTCTTTCTGTTCCCTCAGAGAGCCTCCCTCGTAACGTGTTTCCCTGGTCCATGTGAACTCAGCATTCTCTCGCTATGATTATGTCTCTGTGAGATCTGTGCCTGTGGGCTGGGGATTGGGGACAGGGAAGCCAAGCTGCTGATGCTCTCACTGTGTGGAGTGACTCATGTCATGCTGTCCCTGCTCTTCCCCATCAGTCACTTATCTTTCCCTCAACCTCCAACTTCAAACTCGTTCCATTGTTAATGAAAACAAAATATTAACCCAGGTATGGCTGTGTCAGACCTGTCACCCTAGATACTCAGAAAGTTGAGGCAAAAGGATCACAACTTCAAGAACTGCTTGGGCTACAGAGTGAGTTCAAGGCAAGCCTGGGAAACTTAAAGAGACCTTGATTTGAAATTGAAAAAAAGCCTGAGGAAATCTCTGTGACAGATCACTTTCCTACCCTGTATAAGGCCTCAGTTTAAGTCTCAGTACTGAAGAGCTAACTTTGAAGTAAATTAATAGTATCCATAATATAGGCTCTTAAATGAAAGAAAAATGAAACTTGAACATGAAACATGCAGAAACTTTCTATTCTCCATCTAACACAAAGCTCTTTTTAACCTCACAGAAAACCAAGAGTCATTGTCCCCTCTGGTCAATTAATGGTGTTTATTGAGAGACGGGCTCACTCTGTAGTCCAGTCTGCAACTTTTCCTCAGCCTCCCAAATGTTGGTATTGAAGGTGTGTGCCAGCACATCCAGCCTTTTGGGTTTATGTGTGTGTGGGGGGGGGGGGGCGTTGGTTTGGCTTTTAGTGAGATGCACTCTAATAAATTCTTGTTGTTGCTTAATTACATTAAACAGGGAAAAACTTCTCGTGTCTGGGATTAAAGCAATGAGATATTTACAGCCAGGATTTGTACACATTCCCCCTTTAGATAAAGCTGCATGTTAGCATGTAAATGATCTCTGGTGACTAAGACAAAGTATCTTCACCGAAGATGAGGATGAACGGGATGACAGTGAGATTAAAGAGAAGATGACGTGTTTGTGCAGATAACAAAGATCAAAAAGCAAATAGGCACTGTGCAGTAGAAGCAACAGCTCTCTCATCACCGAGACAGACAAGAGTGGCACTCCACTGGGTCAGTCACACAGGGAAAACTTCACAGGGCATGTGATGTGTGAGCTGGACCTTGAAAACAGTAGCTTTGACTAGATGGACATGATGGTGTTGAGACCGGTATCAAGCATCGTGTAGAAGGAACAGCAGAAACAAACATGTCTGGAACTGTAGAAAGACAGTGGTCTAAGCTGGTATCAAATATGGGATAAACATGTGGGTGAAGTCAGAAATGGTTCTGGAACTGAATTATTCTCGATCCAGTTCAGCAGAGATAGTCCCACATAACTACATGGGCAATGGGGAGTCATGGCAGATATTTACAGAAAAAATTCATGCATTCAGGGGCAGGAACAGGGGTGGAAGGAAGAGAGGCTAGAGGAGTATAAGTCAATTTGAATAGCCATGCTAGTGTCTTACCCTGGACACAGTGAGGGCTTGAACTGGCAGAAGGACACATATGTACATGAGACATTGTAGACATTTAGGTTATACAAACCTATACTTCACAGAGGGTAAAGGGATGGAAGAACTAAAAATGACTTTCAAAAGTCAAGCCTGCAGGGATGGAAGAACAGAAGCAGAAAACAGCACACCTGGGAAGAAAGGGGAACGTGGTCCAAGGATATTGGAATGGCGGTGCTAAGGGTAAACATAAGTGGATATCTGGGCTAGCAACACAAACACGGGATTGGAGATCTGACTGAGACCTGAGGTCACTAGGAAGAGTAGACTGGATGGTCAAGATGGGCATCCATAAATGTCAGCACCACCCACTATAATGGATACTTACAAAGAGACACTGAAAGGTTTTTTTTTCCTTCTTAATTGTATGCAATAAGCATCACTGGGAATTGGCTCATATTTAGACATTCCAGTGGGGCAGTGGCTTGCTTTTAGACCACAAAAACAAGAGGGGAAACAAGCGTGGGAGCTTTGGGACCTCACCCCTTGTCAGTTTTCTGAAGTGAAGCAGCCACGCTGACGATGTCATCGAGATCCTCAGTCCTTCACAGAACAGAAAGAGAAGAAGGTCAGTGAGGATGGAGCGAGACTGTTGGAACTAAATTTCCTAGAGTTTCTGATGGAGGGAAGGGTAGTCTGCAGTCAGGAGTAAGGAGTTGAACAGAATCACAGGTTGATCCCATCGTCTCCACTCATGGTACACACAGACACTAGCATCCTTCATTGCCACTGACTTCCTTTCTCACACAAGATATGCTGGCATCAGTGACATACACAGCACTGTGTGGAGGTGATGAGTGTCTCACAAAAATTCTAAGTACAGGGAAGTCTGATTCTTTCCAAGTCTAAGGTATATCTGTATGTGGTCTGTGCTTCAAACCAGGGCTCTTCTGAGAGTCAAGGGGATAACACAAAAGAAATTTTACTTTGGAAAATATCTTAGTCATTTTTTCACTTATTGTACTGATGGAACTATAAAATTGCAATGTTATAATTTTTCAGTTTGTTTTTTTAAAAGAAAAAAGTTCTGGGCTGGAGAGATGGCTCATATGTTGAAGACAAGGCTCACCTGCCCCACAACCTTTCTTATTTTTTTGAGATTATAATGTAATGACATCATTTCCTTCTCACCTTTCTCCCTCCAAACTATTCCATGTACCCTCTTGCGCATTTTCAGATTCATAGACTCCTTGTCCACTAACTGTACATAAGCACAAACTACTCAGTCTGTGTAATGTTATTTGTATGTACAATTTTAAGGCTGACTGACTGTTTGGTATCGGATAGCCAATAGGTGTGCTCTTCCTTATGGAAGACTATTTCTCCCATATTCAGCACTCCATATGTAGCCCTGACTGTCTTAGAACTCACTGTGTTTACCATAATGGCCTCAAACTTGCAATAATCCTCTTGTTCCTGAATCATAAGGGCTGGGGTTACAGTTGTATGTCACTGTGTCCGGCTTTCAAAAAAAAAAAAAAAAAGTATTCCCCAAAGACATTATTTTTCCTAAATAATAAAGAAGAAGAAATACAAACAAAACATATCCAGAATGAATGCTAAACTAGGTACAATATGCAAAACATGTGTGAATCAGGACTGTGGTAGGGAAATGCCTCCTTACCAAATTAATCCACATGATGGGTGAACCTGTCCTGATGTTGCAGGACAGGCTGAGCATGACTTCTACAGCCAGAACCAATGGAAAGCCTTTGTAGTACAAGTTCAACTAAGTAAAACTATTTCTCCTTGTTTATTTATACCCACCCAGCAACAGTGTCCTATATCTTGAAGCAAGTACAGGAAATATAGAGATAAGCAAAGCCTCCTTCCTTCAAAGGGTTTTATCTCATCCTGTCCTTATGTTCAGACAATTTTGGATTTGCAATGTAAATCTTAAGACAAATTTAAAGAACAAGAACCAATAAAAACATGTATTACCTAGCCAGGCATAGTGCCACACTTTAATACCAGTACTTTGGAGGCAGGGGCAGATGGATCTCTGCAAAATTGAGACTGGCCTTGTGTACATTAAGTTCTGGGGCAGTTAGTGCTACATAGTGAAATCCTGTCTCAAAAACAGTTTAGTTATTATAGCTAAAGTTGACCAGAAAACTGCTTTTATCTAATTTATTATTTTAAAGTACTCCAACAAAGCATGCTTTATTATTGGTACAATTACACACATGTAGACAGAGATCTCTGTACCTTGTATTTCTTTCAGCATGCCTATTGGCTTCTCCATTTGCACCTGCTGTAGCTGCATGTATCTGCCTAGATTTTTAAAAATAATGCCTGTTAGGTAAGAAAACTCTTTCATGCTAAATTATATGTATGAGAATACATTTGTGTTCAGAAATATAAATATAATACTATTGACAAAAATTTTACCTTAGTTCTTTGTATTGGCTAGAATTCAACCATGCCCCTTTTTGAAAGTTTAAAAAATACAAAGTGCTAATTTCACAATATCAACTTCTTTTCATATGTTTTAAACCACTAAGTACATTTAGTCGTGTCTGATCTAGACATTGTTCATTATATTTCCATTCATCAAAGTGTTTTGTCTTTATCGCCATTAGATAATTATGTAACATTTTAAATACCAAGAATCATTTTTTTGTTAGGCACCAAAATAATATTTTTCCTTAAAGACTTATCCCATGTGAATACTGCCAAGAAATGTATTTTCTCGGGTAAGACAGAAGTGAGTCTATATTTCAAGTACGTCTCCCACACCAAGAAAGGCCACACTGAACTGATAGCAGTAAATTGTACAATGCTAGGTTGTCAGAATTTATAAGACTTCTCTCTTTTCCTTAGACCGTGGCTGACCTACTTATACATTCTTGCTTATTCTCAAGAAGCTATATTCAACTTTTTTTTTGTTCTCCTGAGGACATGTGTTAATTACTTCCCTTTCATATTCGTTCATTAAAATCACCATGCTGTGATTAAAGTGATCAAGGTTTTTAAAACATGCATGTTGTCCCAATTTTAGTTTTTGGATCATTACTGGAAGAAAGAAATGAGAATAGTAAAAGTGGATTTGACCAATTCTTATGGAATTAAGCCTTTTCTGAATATAAACATGTACAGCCCCCTAGTGTCCGTGATTTTAGATTAGAATTTAGGTGGTACAGGGACAACTTAGTTCAGTTCCTCAAGAAAATCTATTCTAATTATGACTTAATTGCTTAATACTATAAGACTAAGAGAACCAATCGGATAAGACAGGAAACCTGAGACCTTGCTCTTATGAGATAATTATAATCATTGCAGAAATGAAAAGTTATAAAATGAATCCATTTCATTAATTAGCTCAGTGAAAAACTATTCTCCTGATTCATTAAAGCAATATCCTAAGGACAAAATTTCAGCAATCTGGAGGGATTTTACTGGCAGAAGTTCAGCTCTAGAGTATTAGCCCCGTGGATGAGCACACGGTGCCACTCACCTGTGTTCTTTAGTCAGCACTTTCTAGCAGGTCACCCTCTTATTTTTTTTAAAAAAAAATGCTTCTATAATTGGGACTTATGAATAACAGTTATATAATTGTGTCTTACATGGCATCAAAAATCCCCCTCAAGAGGCCAAAATTACAAAAGAAGTAGAAGCAGACATTCGGGCAGATCAACATAGTCTCTACTGAGACGCTGAGATTTAATCTGACAATCTAATGAAAAGATGGGACATCCATCTTGAAAAAAATGGTTCAAGATCATCAAATTCTGTAATAGGGACACATGGGAAGACTGTCAAGCATCTGAGTTTGTTTCTAAATATTAATTATAGAGTGGCAAAGGTTCAAAGTAGAAAATAAAGTATGTTTTTCCTGACTTGGAGATAAGTTATTTGGAATATTCTGCAATAGTCATGATAGTTTTGATATAAAACAAAAATTCTTTAGTTTTAAAAAATCAAGTAGTAGCCTAAAAGGTATTTCAAGCACAACTGAGGACTTGAGTATTAATACAAAGCTGTAAGAATATCCCTTATCACAATATATAGCTCTTAAGAGGAAACTTAACTGCAAGAAAATAGAAATGAAATATATTCACATATTGTCATTTAATATGGTTTCATTTAATAGGCATGAGATATATGCCCAATAAATACATTCATTTATATCAAGTGCTAATATATAAGGAACTTCCTTACAAACACTTCTAATTCTGCCGGCCAATGGCTATTTCAAAGATAAGGCTCTCTAAGACAGGTAATAGCCAGCACTATTCTAAAGCAGAAGTAATTACACATGTGTACTGATAGAAGTTCTGTGACTCTTGCATTAGTGAATGCACACAGAAAACATGGCCATGCCTTGCACAAAGCCATTCACAAGCCCTTTACTGTCACTTCCCTTCAACACCCTGGTGAGACACTCAGAAGGGCAAGTCCTTACCTGTTATTCCGTCTCAGTTGTTTAGGAGAAGCGATGGGAGAACAGGGTTTTGGAGGTATTGGAGGGTGAACAGCTGGATCCCTTTGAAACAGAAAACAACAGTCCATTACATCATGGAAACAGCATCCATTTTTATGTATTAACCCACAACATCTATAATGTACATGGAAATATCCCTTAAACCCATGACCCCATGTATGGGGAACCTGAAAGGTCAGAATTCACAGAGCATGAACTCTCAAGAAGTCAACTATTTTAAATATGGATATTTTAAAAGTCCATTAAATCGGAACTTTGGAAACCTGTAACTACAGGTGAAACTATAGCATGCCCTTCAATTAGCTTAGTATTTTGCTAGTATATTTGGTGAGTCATGACATTTTGAGTTGTCACATGAGCACAGTAAATGGTTCCCTGCTATTAATGTATAAGCTTCTTTAGGGATTATGTCAACTCACAGGCTACTATAGAAACAGTAAGAAGGTTTCTTATGTGATAGATCTCAAAGAAAGCTTGGTTTGGAGATTTTAACTAATTCTTGACTTAACTATTATCAACACATGACACTTCAGTGATAACAAAACATGAAATATGCCATTAGTCAATTTTCAATGAGGCACCAAAGCAGACCCAAGAAGTCCACATTGATTGGGTGACAAGGGAACTGGAAAAGGGCAAGTATGTTTTCCTTTGGATGAAATCATCTCCTTTCCAAAGCCATGGCACTCTCCAGCTTCCCATCACTGCCACTTTACTGCTTCTCTGTTGCCCTGATGCTAAGCTCCGCACCTAGTGAAAAGTGACCCACGGTCTGATCCCTTAGTCCTCTGCAGCTGCTGGGTGATGTGCACTCAAGTACAAGGCTACCTGCAGTGCCAGCTCCATGGCAATGGGCTGAGCTTATTCTGCTTCTTCATCTGTAATAAGCTCTCTAACAGGATTTTTGGGGGATTTTCAAGGCTGAATGAAATCACGGTTTTAGTCAGCAAGTATCGTTTGGGAGCTTTCTGTGTGCAACACGCTCTATGAAGGAAATAATGGTTTTTGTTTCCAGAAAACTTTAAATATACAAATAAGTGCTATTGTACAAAAAGAAAAAGTCAGAGTAAAGACAGAGTAATGGGACTCAAGAAAAGACATAGAGAGATGGGGTAGGGACTCTTACTTTATTAGCATACCCTTGGAAAGCCTCTGTGCAAGGCAAAATTAAAGCTGAGAGATGCAGGAAGTGATAAATGCCCTGAGGACAGCTGGCACATCAGCTTAGAGATGGCATTGGACACTTGAAACTGTGTGAGATAACCAAAGGACAAACTGGGAGCCAAGGATTCCTGTCTCACATCCCATGGTATTTAGGGATCAAAAATGTGAGAAGTTACAGCAAAGGAGCCCAAGGAAAAGTGGCCAAGAGAAAAGAAGATGAGAGTGAGGAGGTGGTATCCTGGAAAGCAGCTGAGCAAAGTCCTGCCCAATCTGACTGACAAACCAAGAAAGAGAGGGACTGTGAAAGTAGTGTGACTTTGGCAGCGTGGTCAGGTCATCGAAAACCCTGATTGGAGCAGTCCTGACAGAACATTGCATGTTTGGGGGTGGAGTTGGACATACGATAGGAGTAGACTTAGGAGAAAATGGGAAAGCAGGAAGAAGAATTGAAGCAGATGTTTTTACAGTAAGGTCCAAGGCCCAAGGTCTTGTGACTGTGTGCAAGCATGCATGTGCATGAAAGTGTGCAAGCGTGTGTGTGTGTGTGTGTGTGTGTCTGTGTGTCTGTGTCTGTGTCTGTGTGGTGTGTGTGTGTGTCTCTGTGTGTTTGTCTGTGTCTGTGTGTTTTTTCTGTGCTTGTGTGTCTGTGTTTGTGTTTGGTCTTTGATAGAAACACAGATTGTATGAAAAGGAACAGAGAAAACCAGAACAACTGAGACACGTCAGCTGATTTGGAGCAGAGAAAGTTGTTTTTTGTTTATTTCTATCATCTAAGGAAAAAATGAAAATCAAAGCCATTGATTCAAAGTGAGGAAAGCAAGAAGGATTTGGAAAGAGAGGGGGGAAAAAAAACATGAAATCTTTCCCTAGGAGAGCAGAGGAATAAGTAGACCCGGGTAACAACATACTATTTTAAGAGATTACTATACATCAGGAACTCTTACAAGCACTTCTTATTTATTAACTCAATTAATCCTCACTACAATCCCAGAGCTAAATATTATTTTTTTCTTCCCATTTTACAGATGAAAAGACTGAGCCAGGAACAGTGAAAACGATATCTCATAAATACACAGAGTGGGGAAACAGAGCCAGGAAGTTTGGTACCATAGTCTCCCTCATGTTCCACTGCTTCTCCAGGGATCCTGAACACCTTCGTATGTAACCTGTGTATGTTACCACTCGTAGAGTTAAAAGACAGCTCTTGACCATAGTTTTCTCTTGCCATACCCAGCTATGGCCTAGAGGTAAACAAGTTTCCAGCTCAGCGGAGGGTGCAGCAGAATGTGGTGACACAGACAGGGAAGACCGTGAAAGCCGAGGATTGCAACAAGACATTGTACAGTCTGCAATGGACAGGAACAAAAACGGGATCTGGAGAATGTGCTTCTGTGGAAAAGATGGCAGAATCCATGAGCTGGTGTTTAAGGGGAGGCTGAGGAACTACCAGACTGGGGATGGGCAGGAGAGATCCAAAGAGATGCGACACAGCAGTAAAAGTACAGCTCAGAAAGCGACACTTTGTGGTCATGTACAAGGGCCTGGCCTGTGTGCAGTTAAGGTAGAGTGAAGAAGGTCTTTGGAAAGGAGGCCAAGCATGTAAAATCCCAGAGGTGGCCGGGCGGTGGTGGCGCACGCCTTTAATCCCAGCACTCGGGAGGCAGAGCCAGGCGGATCTCTGTGAGTTCGAGGTCAGCCTGGTCTCCAAAGCGAATTCCAGGAAAGGCGCAAAGCTACACAGAGAAACCCTGTCTCAAAAAACCAAAAAAAAAAAAAAAAAAAAAAAAAAAAAAACAAACCCAGAGGTGGTGTCCTCAACATAGATAGGGAAACTATCAGATAGTATAATGGGGTTTGAGGTGTTTATGAAAAACAGAGAGTCTGATGTCAAAGTCTTCGAAGACTGAAGTTGAGTGACTCAGAGGCCTTTGGAGGAAGCCAGTAAAGAAGAAAAGCCCAGACCACATGGTTGCTAAGGAGAGGTAGAGTGTACAGAGGGGGGAGTTAATATCAAAGCAGGGTAGAAGCAGGACCAGACCAGATCCCTTTCCTTCCTCGATCCCCGTGATATGTAGGCGCTGGGGAAAGCCCTTGATCAAAGAAAGGTGGAGATACAACACACCCAGAGGATGAGCAACAGTTGAGCAAGGCTGAGGAGCAGTGGAGTTTGGTGATGATGGATGCTAGCCAGAGTAGAAGGATTTGATACAGGACACTATCAAGTGTGGTGACCTCAAGGGTCTAAGAATCTGTGGTGGTGGCCCAAGTGGCTGGAAATGACCTGACTGGATTTCTTACAGTGTCAATGAACACATGCCTAGGGGCCATGATCGATCTTGTTCTGAAGCTCCTGGGGAACACAGAGCACAGGGTTTCCTGACTCTTAGTTCCGTAACAGTAGGCACGGGTCACTAGAACAGTTTGCACAGAAGTCCTCTCCCCATCTTGACTTAGGGTCCTATATACAGCTGGGATTATTTTATTTATAATGATACCATCATCTTTTCTCTGAAACTATCCTTGTGATAGGCACACACATCAACTGATAACCAGTACTGCATCTGTGTGGATTTGCTGATCAAATGCTTTCCTTCTAGAAGCAGATGGAAGAGAGGGAAGAATCAATCTAAGTAATACTTGGACTGCACAGGGCACTGGATACGCAGACAGGCAGGAGGGTAGAAACCACACACACACAAAAAGGACAGTTATAAAAATGGGAAGTAGGTCTGTGCCAAGCTTTGCTTATACCAGACCCACATCAAGGGAACATGAGATTTCTTCTATTTTAGAATGGCTGAAGCTTCAAAGAGGTGAGTAAATATTTGTTAAGTGAGTCTGGGAGGGAGATGTTGGCAGAGGAAAGAAAAATAGATCTGAGATGGTTGGGGTAGCACTCGGGAAAGAAAGGTGGATATGAGGTCATGAAAGCTAAGAGCAGCGGAACATACTCAGTTCCCTGGGTGGCAGGTTTGCACCCTGCTGGGTCAGTTGCAGGGCAATGCCCTGCGGGCTTCACTTCACCTCAGAGGAGCTTCCATTTGCATGGTTGCATTGACAGCCACAGATGACAGAACCCAAGCCTGGTGTGAGGGGAGGATGAGAAAAGTCATTCACACTGTGCCAGGAACATTATGTGAGCCAAGCAGCGGGATTAAAAATGAAAGGCAGGCAGGAAGCTGTGGCCTGGAGTGTTGTGAAGAGGAGGAAACAAAAGGCATTTATTGGAGTGGTCTTAATTGAATTCTTCTTTGAGACGTGATCTTTGAGCTTAGATACCCCCACTCTCTCCTCTGTCCTTCCTGGCACCCTACGAGCTTTCACAGGATCTATGCCACCACATTAGTGGATGTAATTGTAGAGTTGTTTCAAGGATAAAAAGGAGATTTTCAAGAGAAACACATGAAAACTTTCAGATTGTAGCATGAAGACCAGAGCTAAAAAATAAAATCCTCCATAGGAAGGGCTGTTTATGTTGGCTGTTTTTCACAAGCCCCTGCAAAGACCACTTTTGGTCCTCACGTTGCTTTGGGGTAACATGCTTGCTCCAGGACTCACCAAGGAGTTCCAGTCTGAGTTGTTGGTCATTTCTCTTACTGCAGCCCAAGCCTGGGGTCCACCAAAGACAACCAACCCTCATCTGTAACTGGGAACTTCCCTCTCACATCTCACTGTGCCTCTTTCTTCTTTTGCACAAACAGAATTTCCATCCCAACACTAGCAAGGGAGTGGGGCTGGACCAAGAAGCGAGCTCTCAGCTGTTCCTGCCGCCGAGACTGCCACCTGCCACTGTGTTTCCCTACCCCATGGACTCCTATTCCTCTGAAACCGTAACCTCAAGGAACCTCTTGCTTCTATGAGTCGCCTGGGTCATGGTG